TCAAAGCCCTCCTGACAAAGAGCCATATTGATAGATATATATGATTCACACACAGAGAGATATAGTATCATATATTCGAAAGGGACCCTTAAAGGACAATTATATGCTGTATGTTGCAGGGTGGGCAAACCAGACACTCTCCACATCAACACTGACAAAGAAACTGCAAGAAATACTGTTTACCCACAAGCATTAAGAAATCACATATATTAGAAATCAACATTTTCTCATTACTTTATCTTCCAGATCACCAGACTGGGCCACAGCAATGTGTGGCAGGGGACGGCTAGTAAATAAAAAAATAGTCCAGTGCGAAGGAACTGTGGGAATTGCAGTTTTACAGGGTTTTAGCCTTCTCTGTCAAAAAAGAGGCTTAAAAAAAAAAGCAATTCCCACAAATCCACAGCTTTAAACTGAAGTGGTTAAAATGGTGTCAAACTGCATTGATTCTACAGAGTAGGAACAGCCTTAAGGCTAAAACTAACTCCAGCCATGGGAACCTCATGCTCTGCCTCTTGCAACGCGAGGCGCCCAGATTCACCCGCGCATGCGCTGCGGGGGGGGAGGAGAACCACCCTGGACGCTCGCGCCCCGCAGTGGAGGCGAGGCTCCTGGTTTGGCAGCCAATCAGAAGCGGCGGGGAGAAACTTCTAGGCTGAGGCGGGCTAGAAAAGGATGAGGTGCGCATGCGCGGTAGAAAGGTGTGGCTGTGAAGGTGAGGCGCGTGTTGCTGGAATGGAACGTGGCGTCATGGCAGGTGCGTTGCAGAGGAAGAAGGAGGAGGAGGTAAGCACACAGGCAGCGCAGGAGGCCTTTTCCCTTATAAGTTACAGTGTCCTAGCAAAAAGGAAGCCATTTCCAAAAAGTTTGGGAGCGGGGATATTCTCCTTAAACTGCCTCGTGTCAGGAGCGACTTGAGAAACTGCAAGTCGCTTCTGGTGTGAGAGAATGGGCCGTCTGCAAGGACGTTAGCCAGTGGACGCCCAGATTGTTTTGATGTTTTACCATCCTTGTGGGAGGCTTCTCTCATGTCCCCGCATGGAGAGCTGGAGCTGACAGAGGGAGCTCATCCACGCTCTCTCTAGATTCGAGCCTGCGACCTGTTGCTCTTCAGCCCTGTCTGCACAAGAGTTTAACCCATTGCGCCACCGGAAGGGGGGGGGGGGCTCCTTGCTATGCAAATGACCTATCGCACTTAACCCAGGCCCCGCCCCTCTAGATAAAGGGGCGGGACTTATAGGGCCTCTCCCGAGCATTCTAAGGAAGAGGAGCATTCTAAGGAAGAGGCTAAACATGCCCAGCTCCTTAAGCCGCTCCTCATAGGGCTTGTTCTCCAGATCCTTGATCATTTTAGTTGCCCTCCTCTGGACACATTCCAGCTTGTCAATATCTGTCTTGTGAATTTTATGTTTATGCTGTTTTCTTTGTATGCATTGATTATGTTACTTGGAAACCGCTCTGAGTCCCCTTGGGGAGATAGAATCATAGAATCATGGGCCATCCAGTCCAACCCCCTGCCAAGAAGCAGGAGTATTGCATTCAAAGCACCCCCGACAGATGGCCATCCAGCCTCTGTTTAAAAGCTTCCAAAGAAGGAGCCTCCACCACACTCCGGGGCAGAGAGTTCCACTGCTGAACAGCTCTCATAGTTAGGAAGTTCTTCCTAATGTTCAGATGGAATCTCCTCTCTTGTAATTTGAAGCCATTGTTTCGCATCCTAGTCTCCAGGGAAGCAGAAAACAAGCTTGCTCCCTCCTCCCTGTGGCTTCCTCTCACATATTTATACATGGCTATCATATCTCCTCTCAGCCTTCTCTTCAGACTAAACATGCCCAGCTTTTTAAGCCACTCCTCATAGGGCTTGTTCTCCAGATCCTTGTAAGCATCTAGCTTACAAATGATTAATAGTTAAGAATGAAAACAAGCCTGCTCCCTCTTCCCTATGACTTCTTCTCACATATTTATACAGAGAAGAGGGAGGAAAAGAAGGGAAAAGTAGAAGAGGTGGAATCAGGCCTGGAAGAGACCCCAAGGGCCATTTGGTCCAGCCCCCTGCCCCTGCCAGAGCACACTATCAAAGCACCCCCGACAGATGGCCATCCAGTTACTGCTTAAAGACCACCAGAGAAGAAGATGCCACCACGTGTAAACGCAGCAACATATTCCACTGCCCAACAGCTATTACTTTAGAAAGGGCGGACTGAGAATGAGCAGACAACTTTGCTAATTTGCGGTAGTCTTTCTGCAGATGCTTTCACACAAACGCTTCTGCCTCTGAATGCTTCAATGAAATTTAATAATAATAATAAGACAATTGGCAGCTTCCATAAACGAAAATGGCAGACGTTCAATGCCTTATACCAGGGGTCCTCAAACTTTTTAAACAGAGGGTCAGGTCACAGTCCCTCAAACTGTTGGAGGGCTGGATTATAATTTGAAAAAAGCATGAGTTAATTCCTATGCACACTGCACTTATTTGTAGTGCAAAAAACACTTAAAAACAATACAATAATTAAAATTAAGAACAATTTTAACAAAAATAAACTTATTAGTATTTCGGTGGGAAGTGTGGGCCTGCTTTTGGCTGATGAGATAGGATTGTTGTGTGCTTTCACATAGTTTCAGACTTAGGTTGACCCTGAGCGAGGGACGGGTAAGTGACCTTGGAGGGCCGTAAAAGGCCCTCGGGCCTTAGTTTGAGGACCTCTGCCATATACAATAATAAAATAGGTGGCATGCTGCAAGTCACTTCTCAGGTGAGAGAATCAGCCATCTACAAAGATGTTGCCCAAGGGACACTTGGATGTGTTGTAATCCTGCGGGGAGGCTTCTCTTATGTCCCCCACCTATTACAATGCAGCCTGAGCCCTGCCACATGCGCAATGGAGGACCTTCATTCAGTGGAGTACCAGAGGCCAGCTACCAGTCAAAAGACATTTAACATAATGCCAAGTTTTTAAACTTTGGAGTTTCTCAAATACATCACAACTGTACCCTCTGTTCACTTCTGAAATAAATAAAATAAATACAGTAATAAAATGAAAACATTTAAATATACAATTAAAACAACTTAAATGACTTTGGCTAAAAACATAACTCAGTCAGACCGGCATCATAGATAATACAATGAAACAATTCAAATCTGTATAAAGATATAAAAACATAGCTCTTCAATAAATTAAAATGGTCAACTTCATCCACTCGGATGGAGTCGGTGGTAAATTATTCCTCTCTCTCTATAAGCTAACGAGCAGAAATAGGTTTTTAATTACTTCTTGAGGGAGAGGAGTGAAGGGGCTGTTCTAATTTCTTTAGGGAGGAAGTTCCAGGGGGAAGGAGCATCCATAATAACACTATATAACACGATTTTTGTTCCTGGGTTACAAACGTCATTTCCTAATTTACACAGAGGAGTAATCCAGATGCAGGGCTGTTTAGGATCTAAGACTATGTGTTGTCAAATGCATTCATGGCCAGAATCACTGGGTTGCTGTGACTTTTCCGGGCTGTATGGCCATGTTCCAGAAGCATTCTCTCATGTTTCACCCACATCTATGGCAGGCAACCTCAGTGTTGATGGAGTCTGTTGAAAACTAGGCAAGTGGGGTTTATCTATCTGTGGAATGTCCAGAGCAGGAGAAAGAACTCTTGTCTGCTTGAGGCACGAGTGAATGTTGCAATTGGCCAGTTTGATTAGCATTGAGTGGCCTTGCGGCTTCAAAGTCTGGCTGTTGCTGCCTTGGGATTCTTTTGTTTGGGATGTGTTAACTGGCACTTGATTGATGGCAATCTGGAATTCCCTTGCTTTTGAGTGTTTTTGTGTATTTACTTTCTTGATTTTAGAGGTTTTTTTAAATACTGGCAGTCAGATTTTGTTCATTTTCATGGTTTCCCCCTTTCTATTGAAATTGTCCACATGCTTGTGGATTTCTGTGGCTTCTCTATATAGTCTGGCATGGGAGTGTTAGAGTGGCCCAGCATTTCTGTGTTCTGAAATAGTATTCTGTGTCCAGCTTGATTTATCAAGTGCTCTGCTATGGCTGACTTCTCTGACTGAAGTAGTCTGCAGCGCCTTTCATGTTCCTTGATTCGTATTTGCACAATGCTGCATTTGGGGGTCCCTATATAGACTGCCTGGGATACGGTAGATTCCTGCAGAGGTGAGAGGATCCCTCTTGTCCTTTGCTGAATGGAGCATTTGTTTGATTTTCTTGGTGGGAAAGAAAATTCCTCCACAGAAAGGAGGAAACCATGAAAATGAACAAAATCTGGTTACCAGTATTAAAGAACAGCACTCGGAAGCAGGGGAATTCCAGACTGCCATCAACCAGTGCCAGTTAACACCTCCCAAACAAAGGATCCGCCCAAGCAGCAATAGCCAGACTTTGAAGCTGCAAGCCTTTTCAATGCTGATCAAATTGGCCAATACATCATTCACACTTGCCTCCAACAGACAAGAGTTCTTTCTCCCACCCTGGACTTTATTCCACAGATATATAAACCCCACTGCCTCAGTTCCAACAGACCTCATAACCTCTGAGGATGCCTGCCAGAGATGCAGGTGAAACTTCAGAAGTGAATGCTACTGGAATATGGCCATACAACCTGAAAAACTCAAAACAACCCAATGTAAGACTAGTTTGAAGTTCCATACTCCAGTAATTCTTACAGGATTTCCCATAACCATATGTAGTTAGAATAAAGCAGTGGTGTAATTCCCCAGTACCTTACATACATGAGAAAAACTGAAATTGTCTAAAATACTGAGAGAAATTCAGGAACAGGGGATTTTGCTTTTTGCCTTCAAGGGTTCAGTCAGTGAGGATAACCTGTTTGAATCTTACTTAAAATTGCTCTATATAAATGAGGAAGCTGCACGAATCTGAGCAGAATATTTGGCTTTTCATGCATTGTCATTATTGCTGGAGTTGCCTACTGGCTCTGCTCATGGAAGCCCTTGGAGGCGGTGGAGGCAGTTTGATCCATTTTTTTTTTTGCAGGTAGCTTCTGAAATGTGGAATGAGCAACTAAATATGGACAACAAAGCTGCCCTTTTGGCTTGGGTGAAAGACACTGGAGTCCAGTTGGTGCAGATCAATGGCCAGAGAAAATACGGTGGCCCTCCACCAGGTACTGTATATAGATAATTCAACCTATGAAAAACACATGTGAGCTAACTCAGTGTTGCAAACTTCAGTGTGTAATTGGGTTTCTGGCATCCTATCTTGTGAGATAGCGTCCTATTGTCACTGATGACAACTAACTGCTGTGGATCCCTTAGCAAGAACAGATGTTTTCCAGGTGTAGACATGTATACTCAGAAACATCCCATCAGTCACCTTTGCTACATTTTCTAATGAGAAAGTCCTGTTCTTCTTTCTACTCACTTTATGTGGTCAGATAGTTGTCTGCGAGTATCCTTTTTTTACGTGCAGAAGCAACTTGAGAAACTGCAAGTTGCTTCTGCAAGGACATTGCCCAGGGGATGCCCAGATGTTTGATGTTTTTCCCATCCTGTGGGAGGCTTCTCTCATGTCCCCGCATGGGAAGCTGAAGCTGATAGAGGGGGCTCAGTTCACTCTCCCTAGATTCGAACTGGTGACCTGTCGGTCAGCAGTCCTGCCGTCACAAGGGTTTAACACGTTGCACCACTGGGGGCTCCATATGCTATCTGTATGTGGCTTCTTTACTTACTTACTTGCATTCTTGCATAGGAAACCTTCTGTTTACCTCCAGTGTTCAGGAGAAGGGCTGGAAATTTCAATTTGGTTTAGAAAAGTAACAAACGTTTAATCTTCTTTTATATGTGTAGAAAGCAAAATCCAGTGATAAATGACATACTTCTCTCCCTGGTGCTTGTCAAAAAAGCCAAGAAGGCAGAATCTTGCTCCCTACCTTCTCTATCCCACCACCTTTTCCAGCCAGAGGAGTGCACTCTCTCTTCCTCATGTTCTCACACTTATGCCTAGGAATGTATGTTGAATAGATTTGCAATTAATGGAACACTTATTTCATGAACGCCACCTGCTACCTTGTTATTACTTCTGTCTTCAGACTCAGTCATTAGCAGATCAAAGCCTTCAGTTACTTAGTCTGTTCTCTTCTGAATCAAGCTTTTTCCCCTAGTCACAAGGGAAATAAAAGCAGAAGGTAGAGAAACTTATTTGTACATGCAATTAAATAAATGCCTTTTTAAACGTCTTCATTTATAATTCTACATGTTTAGAAATTTTTGTTAGTACATACGTGAGAGATTTGAAACAGAAATTATGCAGGTGCAGCTACAAAAAGGTATGTTTGAATTTTTGTGGCATAGGTTAAAAAAAATCTAATTGGGGTGAGGGCAACCTCCAGGAAGTGGCCCAAAAAGACCAAATTAGGGAGATGGGTGAGGGTTCCCCACTATATGCTTTAAACATTTTTAGGAAAAAAAATTAGTGGGGGAAGAGCTTGGTGGGCAATTCTCCAGCACAAAAAAAAATCAATATTTAAATGATGTTATGTTTCTCTTATCTTCAATCATTGATTAAACATAAGAGCTGGATTTCACTGAACGGAGCTGAAGGAAGATGTCCAAGCAGTGACAGGAGATGTATAGGGCTTTCCTAGACAGCACTGGAAGAATTAAAATATGGTCTACTGAAAAAGCTTTTGTTGCCAAATGACAACTTTCATTTTTATTTTGTGTCAAAAGCATTGCATAAATAAGTATAGAACTGATAAAAGAGGCTAAATAATTTTAGATCAAAAACAGGGAACAGTGACTGCATTGTCTGTAGCTTTAAACAATTCTTCCTCTGCATGAGGCAGGGCATTGCGGGCAAGCATACAGATGCTGAGTTGTTTGTTCTACTCCACAGTCACACAAGGTGGAGGATTCGTCTAGGTCAGTGGTTCTCAACCTGTGGGTCCCCAGGTGTTTTGGCCTTCAACTCCCAGAAATCTCAACCGGTTGACCAGCTGTTAGGAATTCTGGGAATTGAAGACCAAAACATCTGGGGACCCACAGGTTGAGAACCACTGGTTTAGGTTGCCCCATTTTGCCAGGTTGTCTTTTGACCTGCCAACTCCACTTCTGAGTCTGTCCAGGGACTTTCAATTTGCCCATTCTTGGTTTGCCCCTGGAGGAAGATCCTTGTGGGGAGCCATCCAGTTGGAATTGCCTGATTTTGCTGCTTACAGGGATATTCTTGCTGTTGCTGGAAGAACATTTAGAGAAGTAGTGGTTCTCAAGAAACTTTACCTTGATTTAAGTCTACTGGGAGGAGGCTGATAGCCAAGCAGTGGATGACTTTCACAGTGTTCAATCGTATTTCTCTTAAAATTAGTAGCAACTTTCCATTGCATTTGGGGGTAGGTGCAATGGCAGCTAGTTTATAGAGTTTATCAACAGGTGTAGGTTTGAGACCTCCTGTGATCATTCTGCATGTTTCATTCTGTGCTATGTTCATCTGCTTCATGTGGACAAACAGTGCAGGCATACTCAGCAGTTGAGTAAGACAAGGCCAGAGTTGATGAGCCTACCAGTGACTCTTTCTTGTTGTCTCCACAGGTTGGTTTGGTGGTCCCACGCCATCTGGTACAGAGGTTTTCATAGGGAAGATCCCACAAGATATATATGAGGATAAACTAATTCCTCTTTTCCAGAGTGTGGGAAAGCTCTATGAATTTCGCCTCATGATGACATTCAGTGGGCTTAACCGTGGCTTTGCCTATGCCATGTATATGGACCAGTGCGGTGCTCAGAAGGCTATCCGGTTGCTCAATAGATACGAAATCCAGAAGGGCCACCAGATACTTGTTTCCAGAAGCACTAACAAGTGTGAGCTCTGCATTGATGGCTTGGCCCCGTTGGTGAAAGAGGACCATCTTCTGCCGATGCTACAGGAGCTTACCACAGGAGTCCTGAGCATCACCATACACCCAAGCCCTTTCAGGAAGCAACGGCAGCTTGCAGTGGTGAAATACACTTCCCATCAGGCTGCTGCAATAGCCAAGAAAGCTCTTGTAGAAGGTTTGTCTAATCTTATGCTTTAAGACGGGGTTTCTTGAACTTTTTTCATTTACAACCCCTTTCTGCCTGAGAAAGTTTTACATGACCCCAGGTATATAAAATAGGCATACAATCAAACATTTATTATAATTTAGCATTTGTAAGGCTTGCTAAACAGGCTAATTTATCTTTTCATGAAGCAATTTTCTGAAGAATCCACTGTAAACCCTGTACATTGTTGTTAATAGATGGGTGGCATCCAGAAACCTTTTACTGTTGCCAATTTTTGAGACCCCAACATTGAACTAAGGGGACCCCTTTTGAGGTCAGGACCCACAGTTTAAGACAAAGTGCTCCAAGAGATAAAAGGATGCTGCTGATAGTTTATTGTACACACTGTTCATTGTAGTGAAGTAGGGGTGGGAAACAGTTGCTCCGCCAGATGTTGTTGGACTGCATATCTATCACTATTGGCTGCGTGGGTTAGAGCTTACAAAAGTTGAAACTCAGGAAACCATGTGTTGCCAAATCTTATATTAGACTGTTACATACAGTAGAACCTCAACCTAAGGGTGTTTTGAGTTAAGAGCTCCCGCCCAGCCCTGGTTTTGCTTTGACATACAAGCAGCTTTTTGAGTTAAGACCTAGTGCAAGGGAGTGCTAACGCAAGAATACAGGGTTTTAGGGCTTCAAGGAAGCAGCTTCCATGCCTCATGTTCTTGTCTGCTTTGAGGATTTTCGGGTTAGTTGATTTTGTGTGGTTTTTATTCCTAATGTTTGGCTTCATGAAGAGAGAGCGGGAGAGAGAGGGAGGCTGGAAGAAGTACAATATGAAGAAAATGATGCTTCTGCCTTTGCACTTTGTGCTTCTGTGCCACACCTTTGTGCTCCTACCATTTTAAAGTTGATCTTTCTTTTTATGGTGCCATCGTTCCATGTGAATACATTGTTTGATAATTTTAAATGTACGTTTGCCTATTTAAAAGCATGTAACAAAAAATATGGGTGGGGGCGGGTTTCAGGGGTCCAGAACAGATTAATAACATTTCAGTGGGAAAATTCACTTTGAAATCAGAGTGTTTTAAGAGCTTGGTCATAGAATGAATTAAACTCTTAACTGAAGGTATCGCTGTATTAATGTCAATCAGTTACCGTTGCTGGAAAATTCTGTGGCAGTATTGGCCATCCTGGAAATGTAAACTGTATATTTGTTACAATATGGGGTATACATGTATAGACAGCTGATGCTTTGATTAAATTGTAAGATAATACAAGTTGTTTCCCTCATATGCAGGTACTTTGTGTCTGTGCGGAGATCAAATTGCAGTCGACTGGTTGACATCTCATATAAAACGCGAACTGCATATTTCCTCTGGGCAGGCCATCCCGGAGATCATGCCAACTCACTATACTTGCAGAGATGCCCTTAGCCAGGAACCTCTTGAGCCTGTGAACTGCCATGAGCTACCCACATTGGGCAGTATGGTGGATTACCTGAACTCACTATGTGAGAAAAAGCAGTTGGGGTACCCAGAGTTCTTCACAAAATGTGTGCAGAGGAACCCTGAGGGCTGGCTCCAGGTCTGGTACCATGTAGTCATACGCAGGTGCCTGTCTCCCTTCAATGGCTTTGTCTGGATCAAGCCAGATGACTCTGGTCTGGAAAATGACGAAAAGGTCAAGAATGTTGTGGCCTTACAGATACTCAGTGCCCTGGGTAAGTGTCTTATTCACACCTTCGTATCGCAGGAAGGAATTGTTTTGTATTATTTAAAGCCAAAACAGTATTTAGATCATATTGCAGAGCAAGAACCACTTCTCTGACTTTATTTTAGTGGGAAGAGCATTGCATTCGGAACAAAGTAATAGAAATCTGTTACAGGCCAAAACAGACCTATTTTGGAAGCATATTTGCTTCTGTTAATAATGTGATAGGAGTACAATGATGAAATATTGAAAGCAACAGCACCATACAGTCTTGAAGAGCACTTTGCAGGAGGATATAATGTCTTTCCAGTATACCCTCCTGTGGTACACCATATGGGGTTTTTTTTTTAGTGTCAGGAGCAACTTGAGAAATTGCAAGTTGCTTCTAGTGTGAGAGAATTGGCTATCTGAAAGGACATTGCCTAGGGGATATGATCTCTTTCCAGTATACCTTCCTGTGGTGCACCTTATGGTTTGTGTGTGTCAGGAGTGACTTGAGAAATTGCAAGTTGCATCTGGTGTGAGAGAATTGGCTGTCTGCAAGGACGTTGCCCAGGGGATGTTTTACCATCCTGTGGGAGCCTTCTCTCATGTTCCCGCATGAGAAGCCGGAGCTGACAGACAGGAACTCACCCTGCTCCCCGGATTCGAACCACTGACCTTTTGGTCAGCAGTCCTGTCGACACGGGTTTAATCCATTGCACCACTGGGGGCTCCATACCCTATGGCCAGGGTGTGAATCTGATTCCTTGGGTACATTTGATTTATCTGTTTGTAGAGAAAGCAGGGACAGGATAATTAAGGGATAGTAACAAGACACTTTGATTTTATAGAGTTAAACCATGCACCATACACCTTTAGGCTTGTAAACACACATTGGTCAAGCAGTATCTACCAAGAAATTAATTACTGGGGAGGTCTACCTATACATCTAAAAAAACCCCACACCAACCTAACACAAGTGTTTTTCCATATAGTGCTGGCATATACTTTAAACGAAAGCATATACCTGTGTGAGTAAATGCTATTGTGAGTGGCAGTGACAGTCTGTTTTCCACTAATTTTTAATTACATTCCTCTTGAAAGTATCTTGAGTGTTTGTCAATGCGCCATCAACTTGAAGATAATGAAAAGAATGTTAAAAGCTGAGGATGTTGGGTTTCCATGCTCTTTCAGGTTAATAAATAGCAGGAAAGCTAAAAAATGAAGGAATTGAGTGACGAGATAGGAAAGTAAATATTCCTAGTCTTTCATATGAATTGTGTGACTTACTAGTGTAAGAATGAGATACACATACCTTGCAGAATTGACTGACTAAGCCAGGTAAAAATTCATGAGTTCACTGTGGATTGACAGGCAACTTGAAGGTATGCATCCACTTTTACAGGTTTCGAGGGATAATTTCTATTAGTGAAATGCCCCACTAATAGCCAAAAGTCACTTAAAAAAAACATGAAGTCAGTGGAAATTTCTATAAAGCTGTGCTGTTTGTGGGAGTTTTCCTTGAGAATTTAAGTTCTAAACCAGAGATGGGCACTTGGTACAGGTTTGGTAGTTGAGGACCTTAGAAGGCTTTGCTCTCAAAAATTGTTGGAAATAGCCTCCTTTACTAGTTATTTGTTATGAATATAATTCAGATTGCTTCCTATATTGTATGTATATTTTGATATGCAGTATTTCCCTTAACTCTATGTTGTTTGAGGTTGTGGGAGGGACTACAGACCATGTGACCAGATCTGGGACTATTCAGACTGACTCCTATTTTAAAAGTCTGTTTGCATCAGAAGTAGTACAGTACAGTTTAGAAGTCAGTAGTGTCAGTATACTCCAGCGCTTAGTCAGTCTTTATTGAGTCGATGTTCAGTAATGTAGGAGACTGAAGAGAGTATTAGTCTGTATGCAACAGAGAAGAGACTAAAACCGAATGCTTTAGATAACTTACTGTTTAAACTTTCAACCAATAAGAAATGTACCTGTATGCTGAATACATGAAGTTTGTAAGTAAACAAGTTATGTTACTTTTAACAAAGGCTACTTATTTTTGGTCTCTTGAGAGCATGATTTGAAAGCAGTATATTGAATGGGAGAGTAGATGTTTTTGGGCAACTGAAATAACACTTCTGAAAATCTGCTATATGTTTTGTGCATTGGCATATCTTTGTTCCTGACAGTTCAAAGAGCTAACTAGGTATATCAGTCTTAACAGCTGAGAAACCTAATTTGCCTTGCATGAATATTAGTGGATATTTATCACTAAGGAGAAGATTCACTCAAATGAGTATTTAACTTTTCTCAGGAAGATCATACTTTCCAAAAGGTTATGATTATTCCAGATAGTGTGAATGCCAATTAATCTCCAAAACGGTCACATTTCCAAAAGGCTATGGAGATTTGTGGTTTCTCAAAAGGTTATGATCTCTAAAGGGTCAAGCCTTCCCAAAAGAAAGCTATTTTTTTTGTTGTGGCTGTCTCCAAATGTGACCTAAGTAGCATTGGGGGTAATTTGTCTTTATTTTGTTAGTCAAATTGACTGTTTTTTCCCAAAAGCAAGTGACCCAGATAATTACTCCTGGGTTGCTTCTTTTTGAGAAAAAAAAGCTCTTCCTTGAGCCTAAAATATTTCCTTATACTTTTGAGGGGATGTCTCTGAGGTCAACAATCATGCTGCTACAAACAGTGAATCTGAAGCAACTTCATTTTGCTTGTGGGTGTAACTTAGAAATATATAATCTTCAGAAATGTGGAAGTCATGGAGGGCATGGGTATTTTCTGGATCTGCCCCCCCCTCCCCCGGAGATGAAACACTTTTGGAAAAGTGAAATAGTTACATTTTTAACTATTGAGACTTGGAACAACATAAAATGCTTGTTATATTAGTTTTCATAAGAAATGTATAAATGTATAAATAGAGAGAGACATGGCTGCCCCGAAAGCCTCCGTGGCCGCGGGAGGCCTCTCCTCCGGCGCGAATAGCGGCACCAACTTGCTCTTCTCTTCGTCAGCGACTGAGTTCAACTTCACCGTCCCCTTCATCACGGTCAGCCAGGCCCCAGTGCCGCCCCTGCCGCCTCCTCCTGGCCTCCTGCCCTCAGACCTCACACCTCTGAGGATGCTTGCCATAGATGCAGGCGAACCGTCAGGAGAAATGCCTCTAGAACATGGCTCTATAGCCCGAAAAAATCCACAAGAACCTAATGTATAAATATGCTATGTATTAAATAAATGCAAACTCCTGTATCCTGTGTTACCTACTTGTATGTGTCTTTGGAATCGGATACGTTAGAAAGGAATGTAAGCAGAAAACACAAATGTTAGTCTAAAATAAAATGTATTATTTAGATAGTGACAACTTCTTAAGGAAAATACTAGCAACATAGTTCTAGTTATCATTCCCACTCAGTCAGCATACTGCTGTGTCGCATGGCTCTGGAGGCATATAGAGGAAAGCCAAGTAGGTGCATATGTTGATTTTTTGAAGTAGTAGTGGACCTTGGTGGGTGTTGTGAGAAATGCCTACGGCCACAACAGAGTCCATAGGTGTCATTTTGAAAACTCCTGGTTCAAATATTGACTTTCTGTGTGATAGAGGTCAATGTATCTACCTCCCATGTAGAAGTAATTCGGTTTCTGCTCAAGTATTCATGCAGACTATTGTATGTTAGAAACTATCTTTGGAAAGAAGAACTAATTTTCAAGAGTTGTTCAGACTTATTTTTCTTTTTCCAACAGGGTGCCCAGTGGTATAATTGGCGTGTAGCAGAAGAATGATTCTTGCATGTGCGGACAGTTGTGTGTCCTGCCCTTTCTCTTAAGTTGCTCTGTGGGCACACCCATTTGAATACTGGGTGCCAGACCTCATTTGTTTTTGTTGAACATTGCTTTCTGTTAAGTTCTGTTAAATTGTTTGTTTGAGTTCATTATTTAAGCAGCCCCTGAGTTTTGGAAGGAAAGGATGCACGCTTAGCTTCCTTAATAGATCTTATGGGCTCAGTACAAGATTATATACATAAAACAGAAGTACTATGTATGCATGCAGTGGCCTGCACTAGAAGCTAAATTACAAATAAGTGGTAATTTATTTGTTTCTTATTGCCTGGTAAGTGCAAAGGAGCACAACCTGGTGTATTGTACACAGGTGTAAGAGAAGTGTAAACATTCTCGGCTCAGCTGAGATTTCCCTTGAATCTTCCATTCTGGATCATAGACTGAAAGGGGAGAAAAATATGTTAAAAGCAGTTGTCTCTACTTCCTTTGCCAATGTACAATGATCCTATGACAGTGTCCAACCAATGCCCTTGCCAAGATGTGTGAGAGGCTTTCTTACATGGGATATTCAGTGTAACATTTGGTTCAACCATGAGATGCCAGCTATGGTCCAGATTCAAGGGCTGTTTCTTTTCCTTCATGTTAAAATCTTCTGACTTTTGTTCAAAATGTATCTTTTTCTGTTTGTTCATTTGTTTTCTGTTTGAAAGTTTGCATGATTTGCCATATAATAGCTAGACTGTTTGGGGAAGAGATGCATGAAACTTAACTGGGAACAACATAAACCAAATACTACTACTTATTTAGGGGAGGATGGATGTTTGTACTGAGTATACCCCTTCCAGTGTTATAATAAGCCAGCTCTTCATGCTGGACTGAAACGTACAGAATTGGCATGGCTTCTGAATACTTTTATGTCTCTCATAAGCACCACATACCTCCTGCATTGACCAATTGGCTTTTTAAACACCGGAATCCTGTTTCCAATGAATGAATGTGTGTGAACGAGGACTTCAGAGTAAAGGATCTGTTTGATGCCTCAAGATTTTGCACTTTAGGAATAGATAAAAATTGTGGAGAAATATGTAACATCAGAATTATTGGTAGTTTCATATTAAAATAGTGTTGAAAGTATGAAGATCTCTTTCTTTTTCTGAAGTATGAAGAACACTTACTTCAAGTGTCCTTAAATTACGCTCTAGATCTGGCCCACCAAGGTCTCTTCCCTGTCCCTTGCAAGCCGCACCCCTTCCACCTCACACAGGTACTCCTCATCATGGAGGGAGGGAGAAAGGAGGGAAGGGAGGAAGGAAAATAAGAGAGGGGGAGAAAGGAAGATAGGAAAAAAGGAAAAGGGAGGGGATAAAGAATGAAGCAGCTGGGAAACGGAAGGAAGAAAACTGAGAAAGAAATTTAGGTTGGAAACGGGGGAGGAATTGGGAAAGCATGGTGTCATGGTTGAATTTTGGACTGTGGCTCAACCCACTGGAAGACAAATGCTATATGAATAAATATTGACTAGAAAACTCTGTGATGGGGTTGCCCTAAAACTGAAACAACTTGAAAGCACACAACACTCCCAATTCAACTTGACTATCTCATTAGCCAAAAGCAGGCCCAACTCTTCCCATTAAAATGCTGGTAAGTTTCGTTGTTTAAAATTGTTCTTCACTTTAAATATTGTATTCTTTTGTGTTTTTTGCACTTTAAATAAGACGTTGCAGTGTGCATAGGAATTCATGTATTTTTTTCAAACTATAGTCTGGCCTACCAACAGTCTGAGGGACGCTGAACCAAATCTGTTTTAAAAGTTGCATTAGCTAAAATGTAGATCTACACAGTCTCCTTGACACAAGATGATTCTGCCTATCTTAAGTCTCCTATGTAGAAAAGTGAATCTTAAGTAATTGCTGTATTCTGCGGTCTAGAAGAAAAAAAACAAGGAAAAAATTCTGAAATGGAGAAAATGAGCACTGTTTCCCTGCAGAAATCCTGTACTAATGTTCGGCTGCATTGCAAAAAAACCAGGATCTTAAGGTAGCCAGATTTTAGTGATTATTTCATATTTGCAATGACAGTTAATAGTTTGAAGCCACAATGAAACAAAACTTTATAAATTCAATATTTTATTAAATTATAGATTTCCAGCATCAGTCATTCATCTTGAGGCAAAAGCAGAAGTGGCAACCCCTAGCAATATCACCAGTAATTCTTAGTTTATGCATATTGTGTTACCTGACAACAACAGTAGTTATAATTTATTGCAACATAAGACAGGCCTGCCTGCTGTTCCATTAATCAATTGGCTTAAGGATTTCCTGAGCAGAAATGCTCTTGTTTCATGTAAGTAGAAGCAACTAATCAGTTTGATGTGCAGTGTCCCGACACAGGCAGCTTTATGCACATGTGTTACTCTATGGCTGTATAAAACCTGTATTCAAAGTTAGTTATTTTAAACTGGTTTGTATAGAATAATTTGTATTTGTGAAGATACGTAGCTTCAAAACGGAAGCTTTTCCATCCACTGCTGTTGGCTCCTATGAACTGTATTTCTTCAATTCAAAGACGCACTTTTCCTAGATAAAATCTCTAAAAATGGGATGCACCTTACAAATGCAGGTATATCCTATGTATATATGTATATGTGTGTGTGTGTTTATGTGGCAGTACTGAAAAAGGGTGTCTTACAATCTATGGTGTCTTACAATTGAAGAAATACAGGTGGCATAAATCCTCAACTTGGAACATACACAATGAATGAGATCTAGTTTGAGCTGAACAGCTGCTTGCATGTGGGGGTTTAATAAGCTATAACAGTGCATCAGCAATATTTCCATTAGCATATGATGAAAGAGTGTTGAATTTTGTGTCAATTAGATGATTTTTGTGTGTCTTGAATATTACATTTAGCATTCTACCTCAAAATTGTAATGAGAACATGGGAGCACATAGGTTTGAAGAAGCACGGGCATGCTCATTCTAGGATGCCTGAGCAGATGTGCTTTCCAAGAAAGGCAAACAAACTTTTTTCCAGATGTATCTGAAAATTGTTTAACTCAATGCAACAGGTGCCCTTCATATACCAATTTCTTTTCAATTGCTTCATCACAAATGTACCTTTCATAAACCGCTGCTAAACTCTGCACAGGCCAAAATGGAAGGAAGTACTCTCTGGATGGGGAGCTTCTCCTCTGTGCACTTCTTGTCACTGCCTTGTTTTCTTTGCTCTCATTTTTAACCTAGGCTACATTCTCATTCTTTGCCCTTATTCCTATCTGTTTTTGCATAGATGTAGACATTTTAAGATTAGCAATGAAATTCACTTTCCCATACTTTGTAATCTTTCAAGTAAACATATCCCTAATAATATAAAACTTTATTTATATTCCACCCTATCACCCCTGGGGGACTTGGGACAGATTCCAACAAACAAAGAGGCAAATATTCAATGCCTCAGTGACAATATGTACAAATATAATAACCCAGAATAACTGGACATAAAAGACATCTTAAACATAACTAGCTTAATGTATTGTCGAAGGCTTTCATGGCCGAATCACTGGGTTGTTGTAGGTTTTTTCGGGCTATATGGCCATGGTCTAGAGGCATTCTCTCCTGACGTTTCGCCTGCATCTATGACAAGCATCCTCAGAGGTAGTGAGGTTCTCCCTACCTCTGAGGATGCTTGCCATAGATGCAGGCGAAACGTCAGGAGAATGCCTCTAGACCATGGCCATATAGCCCGAAAAAACCTACAATAACCCATAACTAACTTAAATAAAACATAAGTTCTTGCTAAGTATGCCCCCCATGCATTTTAAAAGGAAATATTTATTTGTTTCATGTCCCTCGCACACCCTGTGGCCCTACAGGTATTTGGGACTCTAGCTCTCAGAAGCCCTAGCCAGCTTCTCCAATGGTCTAGAATTCTGGGATCTGAAGTTCAAAACACCCGCAGGGCCACAAGGTGTGCAGACCCATCCTGACCTCCACCCTTGTCTGATCCACAATCCAGTGCAATCTTCATTAGGCCACAAGAAGATGGGCTAAAATATTCTGCTGAATTCACAGTACGGGAAGGCATGTCACTTGAGTTTTTGTGAAATGGTGACTATTTCTGCCAAAACAGATCCCTTCAGAGGAATATACTCTTCAAATATGCTCTATACATTAATCGCTGTCACTTTCAGTGGCCGCATTGTCATCTTCTTGGATTGCAGGCACCTCTCTCAAATCTGCAAAAAAGTCCTCCCCACTACCAAATGCTTTGCTACTCAATGCTTTCAAATGGCCACTTTTCTTCTTCTTCTTTCTGTAGTCATTAATAATCACTGAACGAAGTGAAGAGATGTCCCAAAACTTGACCTTCTGATCATGGCCACAGCTTGCAAGAAATTGGCCTGAGTGACACTGGGCCAATTGCTCAATAGGCTCCCCGACATGCTGACCGATGCTGCCTATGACCCGGTTGGGCAAGATGTTTACTGCCCTGAAACAAAGGGGAGAGGGGGAAGAATATCAGATCAACAACAAGCCAGTACTTTTTAATTTCAGTTAAGCCATTCTGCTGCAGAACCTTCAAGGTTAAGGGAAGAATCCCAGCTAGGTTTCTCAAATTCATTTTAGCTACTTAGACACACATGCAAAGTCTAAATGTTGCCTGTGTTATTCTACTTGGCTTGACAATGCAGTATAGAAAGAAGGCCTCATATGCCATGAAATATACCCCCTTCTGTAAAACTGTTAGTGTATTATAAACCATAATTAGGATAAGAATGGAGCCAAAAACTAACCTCAAAGTGAGGAATAATGCAGTACCATCACAAAAGTCCATTCAGCTGTTTCTATTTCCTCCACCCCATTTATAGTTAAGTCAGTCAGTTACCAATTCTTGGTGTTCTTGGCCAACTAGTCCCAGCAACAAGGCATCGGTTTCCTTGGAGCAGGGGTTCTCAAACTTTTTGAGCTGTGGAGCCCTTTTTGAAGCAAAAGTTTACTGTAGAGCCCCAAGAAATGTATATATTATTATATATAATACAATATATACACATTTCTTGGGGCTCCACGAGAAACTTCTGCTTTTTAAAAAGGGCTCCAATTATAAGGTTTCTCTCCTTACCCTGGCAGCAAATAAAACCAGGGCAAGACTGATTGTGGACATCGAAGTTGACTGTGCTGGACGTGCTTTTATCTAACCTGAGTGGGGTTGATTACCCCTAAGGGGTTCTTACTTAAGTTTTTAACATGACTGATCTTTTATGCTTGCTTCTTACTGGTGAATGTGCAGTTCCTAGCACCTGTCATACCTGCATTGCTACACCTTACAGTGTATATATTACACGTTCTGTTTTATCCTGTTTGCATCCTGTTTTTAATTATTGGATTTTAGAGTGTTTTATAGAGATGCTTGTTAGATGATGTTTCTGTTCGTGTAAATGCATATGACCATTGGTCAAAGCATTAATAAATTTATCAATATTATATATAATGTGTATATATAGCAGGCATGGGCAATTTTTTTGATGAATTGTGCTATAAACTTTGACAGACAGGCCGGGCCAGTGGCAAATGGATGGAGAGTGTTTGTGTGAACTAATTGGAAAAAAAATGAACAAATTCCTATCCACACCGCACATATTTTGTTTGTAGTGCAAAGAAGAAAAAGGAAAGAAAGAATAATACATTATTTAAAATGAAGAACAATTTTAACCAACACAAACTTAATAGTATTTCAGTGAAAGACCCCAGGGGCTCCATACTTCCCTTCTCCTTCTGCCATGCAGGAAAACCGCAATCAAATTATCCCCTTGAATGGTGGGAGGGAAATAAAGTTTTGGAAGCAAGCAAGGTGAGGGGGGAAGGATCTGGGTGACAAGGAAGGTGATGAAAAAAGGCTTTTGGCAGCAAGGGGCAGAGGAAAAGGCTTTTGGTGGCAAGGGAGAGGAGCAGGAAGAGGAGAGAAAGTTTATAGGAGGAGGGAAGTGTGGAGCTCCTTGGTATGCTTTGTGGAGCCCCAAGGGCTTCTTGGAGCACACTTTGAGAACAGCTGCCTTAGAGAATGGATTCCATAATTTTATTCAATCACCAATCTCAATATATTTGTCTCTCGCCAACCCCTACCAAGTGCTCTTACCACACCATTCTCACGTGGACACTGGAGCAAGACCTCTGCTTGGCTGCCTAATATTAAATCAGACCTGTCTCTTGGCAGGGCACCCAAAGCGCTCTTCTTACCTGATGACTCCATCCGTGGAGCCTGTGCACACAATGTTCGCTGTTATGGGAACCATGCAGTCAATGGATTCCGCCTTTAATGCAAAACGGTCGCTGGTTGCACCAAAGCCGTCCCAGTTGAAAAGGTAAATGGTCCCTTCACTAGAGCCGCAGGCCACTTTCTTCCCCCTCTGACCAAGAGGAAACAAAATAGAGCTTAAATGGAAGAAAGCATCATCACTTCACTTTTCACTCTAGAAAGAGCTGACTGCCAAATGTCTTTTCCCAGAATACTTAGCAGGAAAATATTGAGATTTTCACCACTATTTATGACAAGCATCAAGCACATGGGTTCCTCTCTTTCATAGAGAAGCAGTACTGACCTTCATCAAAGAGATGGCTGTCAGCTCACCATTCTGGGGCTCAGAAAGTAGCTCAAAGCGCCTTCTCTTAATGTTGAAGACTCCCATGGTCCCATCTCCACTGCAAGAAAGAAACATGCACAATGCCTATATGTGTATACTTGTAGGATAGTTATTTCTCAGACCCCAAATTGCATCTAGGTGAAAGAGGTTCCTAGGCAAATATTTCTCTTTTATATCCAGGAGAGGAGTAACAACAGCAATTTGTGCCAAGGGTTCTTGGCATGAAGAAAAAAACAATACTAGGTTGCTGCAGAAGCTCTTCACTTCCAACTACAGAACTGTAGAAAAAATCTCAGTGATCAAAGCTTATTCTCTCATCTGCTTAACAGAAAAGTGCAAGGATACCTGGTAGTGAGCAGCAGTTTCTTGTTTCCATCCACAGCCATGCCACTGATGTACTCCTCGTGCTCCTTTGCTTCCATGATGGAGGTACCTTTGCGCAGGTCCCACACCTTCAGCTCCCCACTGTCATCTCCCGTAGCAAACAAGTGTTCATCTATCACCAACAGGCAGTTCAATGCAAAGCTGCAGAAATCCCAGAGATTTAACAATATAACCAAGGTATTACAGAATAACCTATCCCCACTCAAGAGCTATGGCCTTCAGTGAGGTAACAATACTGAAGCCTTATATATACGTACTATGAACAAAATTGTCCTGAACCAGAAACATGGATTCTCATTGAATAAATTATCTCATCATCTACGCATGCATTTGTTGCTTCTTTTTCCATAGTGCTTTTGTCGAGCTTCATTTATCACTATATTCTTAAAATAATGGTGCAACATACCACTTGTGCTTTCTGTATTTTCCAGCATTATGATGCCTTTTGGCCATACTCCAGAACATTTTACTTTGTATGCCCACTAATCAGGCCTTAAAGTAGCAACTCTGATGCCAACATGGCTGTTTAGGGGAGGTTTTAAGCCTGCTATTTCCAGACTTGATTTCAATGGTGCAAAAAGTCTTTGCTGCAAACAAAAGAAGTGGACTATACACTGTGAATGCCAATTAATCTCCAAAAAAGTTACACTTCCAAAAGGCTATGGAGATTCCTGGTTTTCCAAAAGCTTATGTCATGCCTTCTAAAATGAACTATACACTGGCCAACACACATTTTAGTGCTTCGAATGTTAGCCCTGTTTCTGGGTATATTTGATCTGCTGATTCCAAAAATGACACTGGTCTTCCTCCATCGGCTCTAGAGATACAGAACAGTCATATGCCATCTAGCACTTAGCCGTATGCTTGCCTATAGAAAACCATGATAAGCAGCTAGAGCAGATGCAGTCTATCCAATGCAATTTTCTGAATCAGTGTCCCAAATAACCCCAAGAACAGGCCTAAAAACCAAGTCACATAGAAAAAAAATGTTGGGCTGTGACTGCTTCCCAAGAGAACTTTCCTACTTTAATACCGCCAGTATAAATATTTCACAATAGCTGAACCATGAATAAAAATTATGCTAGATAATTAGGGAGGGGATTAGCCTTAACATTAGAAAAAGGAAGTAAAAACCATATCACATTTGAAACAAATTGAGAGTTTGTAAAATTCATACTCATTCGCCCAGCTAAAGTCTGAATGATTTATGAACTTAAATTCTGCCTTGCAATATTCTAACTTCAATGTTCAACAATATTAAGTGATTGCAAGGACATCTGTCTTAAAATACCCATATGCTACAATATGATGGTGTGAAGTTTCTCCATTGTCTAGAAGAAAAGCTACCCGAATGAACCAGAATGTGTAGTCTTTCTGGTCCTAAGAAAAAGATACCTATTTAGGATTCAAAAATATTTTTCTGTGGGAATTAATCATAGAGTTGGAAGAGACTTTGTGGGCCATCCAGCCCAAACCCCTGCCAAGAAGCAGGAAAATCTCATACAAAGCACTCTGGACAGATGGCTATCCAGCTTCTGTTTAAAAGCCTCCAAAGAAGGTACTGTACCTCCACCACACTCCAGGGCAGAGAGTTCCACTGCTGAACAGCTGTTCCACTGCTGGTAAAGGTAATAGTGATATCATCAGACTTACTTATGTGCTTTGGAGAAGCGTGTGACAAGACGACCCTCCTCAACGTTCAGGATATGAATGGATTTATCCTTGGATGCCGTGTAGAGCTCTAGAGAGCATAGAGAAAATGACATAAGCCACCATAAAGGGCTAAAATTCCACATTTACTTGGAACAATGAAACGGAACAGAGTTCAGCATCAATAAATAAATAAGCCATTCCAGATATGTTTTAAAAGGATGCTAAAATACACTTAATCTACACATGGCCCTGAACTATGCCTACTGCTGCTAATTTTGGAATGCTTTAAAAACAGGATGGAATTTATGGCACATTTATGGGCAAGTGTTACAAGTCTGAGTGCTGCTTAGGGTTGCATTTTGCAAAATGTAATCCTGAACGGCTCAAAATAAGAGCATTGTTTTACGTTTTGCTGTTGCTTCATATTTTTTTTGTTATTTAAAGAGTCAAATGTTAGTCTGCAGAATCAATGTGCAACAAATGTTAAAAAGTAACATTATTTTACAAAACCAGCTTCAGGGTGCTGTTGTAACTTCAAAAAACAACACGGAGCAGGTTGGGTTGTCATTTGTAACATGTTATCTCCTGTCTGACTCAGAAGGAAATGTTACTGTGTTTAATGGGAATTGCTTTCTGAAAATAAGCATTGAGTTCCAGTCTTAGTATTTCTTCTCCAGGAAGATGAACAAATTGTCTGTCCAAGGAATCAAAATCTAGCACATTATATGACTAAGTACAAGCAGAAAACAAGTCATGCCAGGAGGATAACTTACTGTGTCCATCATGGGAAAAAGATACTTCCCGGCAGGATTTCAAGTGATGTCCTGAAGACCAAAGCTCCTTGTTCCCACCTTCGAAACAGGAGTATGAATACCTGAAAGATTTTAAAAAACAGGGAACTTGTCATATACCTAGAGTTAAAAGTTGTTTTGGCAGAGAAAAAAGAAACAAGGTCAGTGAAGCATGGTAAGCGTTGGGAAAACATTTCAGTCTGAGACACAGCACACAAAGATGTCTATCCTTATCTGCCCCCAAGTTCTGAAACCAGAACTGATTGCTTACACATAGCCCGTTATATCTACAGTCTGTGCATTAAGCTGGGATGCTATATTGACTACATGGATCTTTTAACTGATTCTATTTTAAATAGAGGTTATTTTATCCAATTTATATACCTGGTTTATGTAATGTATTATTGTTTTCATGTTGATGTATTTTATGTATTAAATAAAGTATTATTATTATTATTATTATTATTATTATTATTATTAATGAAGCCATGAAATCTGTTGACTACTATCACACTTATATGGTCACATTCCAGCAGCTATGATATACCCTGAACAGTAGAAGTACCTTGGATTAGATAAGATATACACAACATCTGGGGGTCTGGAAGCCACAGCGGTGCCCCTTTTGTAAGACGGCAAATTCTTTGTTCATTTTTGGTATTTCATGGGGTTTTTTTTGGGGGGGGGGTACGCTATGGATAGTCAAATATGTGGATATAGGCCAACTATAAACCCAGTTGCATTAATGCAAACCTGACAAGTCACATACACAAATTGTATTGATTCATTGTGTGCCCTACAGAACCTTTTGGAGGCCATAACAAAGCTTGGGTGAATAGGGAAGAGAAGCACACACCCACTTCTTATACCTGGGAATCCAGATGAGGATAATGGGAGAAGATGCTAGGTTAGAGCTGCCTCCTTCACATTGTAATCGTGTTCAAGATCACTGTTTCCCCATTAACAGGGACAGACCAACAGTGATCTTGATGTGGATTACAGCAGAAGGAACAAAGGGAGGTTCAAGTCTGATCTACCATGGCTGCAAGAACCAAGAATGTTCTTAGAATCATAGAGTTAAAAGAGATCTCGTGGGCCATCCAGTCCAACTGCCTGCCAAGAAGCAGGAAAATCACATTCAAAGCACCCCCGACAGATGACTATGTGTTGTATTGTTTTGTTTCATTGTGCTGCAGAAATTTATGTGTCCACCTTTTTGGTCAGCAACGGATCAAAGGAAGCAAAAATGCACTACAATAAGACCATTTATTTCTCAACTATTGACCAGCCAGCTGTAGATAGACAGATTCTGAGAGACTACTGAAAAGTATCCAAACTGACACTGTACATTTTGCTGGACTACTAATGGGGGAATGAGGATCATTCAGGCAATTGTGCGGTCAATACAAATACATTCAAGAAAGCTATTCTCACACATAGACATCACCATCCACATCTCCAGCAGCTATGATATCTTGACTAGGGTGAAAGGCAATGGTGTTTGCAGCAGCTTCAAGGGAAATATCCTCAGGGGTGTCTCGTAGCTTAGGTTCCTGTTCAGCCTCCTCCTCATCTGAACAAGCCTGTGAGGAAGAAAACAGAAAATTATCTACCATAGAAACAACAATACATGTGACTTATAGAGAGGTAGCATGCATTATACATTACATCTGTTGCCTCTTTATCCTCGCAATACATTTACCACCTGTTGATGATGGGCCAGTGCCGAGTGTCACATTACTGACAATCTCGATGCTCCAAATCCTTGTTGATCTACTTCAAATCACTTTCTGGATCACAGACCCTAAGGGCCCAGCTGTTTGCAGTGTAATCTCAAATGCTCTTGCTTCAGCGTAATAATCTTTATGATAACACACTAAAGCAGTGTGGTTGCCAGAATGTGAAGCTGCATTGGGTGAATATAATGAGAAACCTCTGAATCTATGTAAAATAAGTGATCAATCAAATACTTAAAAATATATAAATGAATTTTTTTCATGAGATACATTGTGACCTCATACATTTTATGATTACAATTTATACATGTCCGTATCTCGTAGAAGAAGTTGCTTTCACCTCCGGATTGCCAGTAAAACTGACTTACTGTGTCACAAAACAATGCATGTTTACAAAGTGTCACCAACATGAAATGCCTGGAAAGATCTGCACTAAAGGTTACATGTTAACTATGACTCTTAAACTCATGTCCTTTACTTGATGTCTATTTTGTGTACTTATAAGAATATTAATAAGAAATTATTATTATTATTATTATTATTATTATTATTATTATTATTGAAACAGCTCTAAATGATTATGCCTTAAAGCATGGAGGAATGAAAGATAATTCCACTGTCCAATGTATTATTTGACCCAAATTGTCCCTGACCCACTGGTCTGCCTTTCTTTCCTTTCCAGCATTTCCACGAGGCTTCCCGTTCTGAACTGGTTTAGGCATGTGTGCATACACACACTTTGTCCATCATTCCAAGGCAGGAGCTCTGTCCAACATCCCAAAATCTTTGCTGCCTGTTTATTCTGGGATAACGGGGCACCTTCATACTTGAGTGCAGGGAAGGTTTTGAGGGATGCAAAAGAAACATTCTTACTGTGAGGGCACCCTTCACCATTTTGTGTGGGCCCTTCCACATAGCCATATACCCAGAATATCAATGCAGATAATCCACCATAACTGCTTTGAACTCGATTATCTGAGGCCCCTTCCACACATCGGCATAAAATCCAAATTGAACTGGATTATATGGCAGTGTGAACGCAGATAATCCAGTTCAAAGCATATTTGGTGAATTATCTGCCTTGATATTCAGGGTTTATATGGCTGTGCAGAAGGACCCTAAATCCACACTGCCAGATAATCCAGTTCAATATGGATTGAATACAGCTATGAGGGAAGGGCCTGTATTGACTATGAAGAGTGAAGACGTTTTTAATTTCAGAAGAGATAAAAGTGGGGGGCGACTGCACTTACACCTTTGTGGCCGACTGGTTTAATTTTAGAACACATGTTTTATAGATTGGATACAAAGGGGCTGGTCTCCATGAAAACAGACCAAAATACTGGTAGAGAGTTGCTAGAAGAGAACGGTCTCATACAAGTTTTGTATTTGAAGAAGTAGATTGAAATCCAAGGGAGAAGTGGGTTGAGATCCATGGAGGCCTAAGCAAAAATAAACCAATCTTCCCTTCTCCCTTTTTAGTGCTGAAACATGTCATACAGCTGGGTTGTTGTAAGTTTTCCGAGCTGTCAATCCATGTTCCAGAAGCATTCTTTACTGACGTTTCACCCACATCTATGGCAAGCATCCTCAGAGTTGTGAGGTCTGTTGGAAAATAGGAAAATTGGGTTTATATATCTGTGGAGAAAGAACTCCTGTCTGCTGGAGGTAGGTGTGAATGTTGCAATTGGCTACCCAACAGACAAGAGTTCCTTCTCCCACCCTGGTCATTCCACAGCTATATAAACCTCATTTCCCTAGTTTGCAACAGACCCCACAACCTCTGGAGATGCCTGCCATAGATGCAGGCGAAATGTCAGGAGAGAATGCTTCTGGAACATGGCCATACAGCCCGAAAAACTTACAACAACTCAGTGAATCCAGCAATGAAAGCCTTCGACAAAGTCATACAGCTCTGTGAGCTCAGGCTCATGCAAATGCACCGGCAACAGAGAGTCCACTTGACTCCTGACCTCTCCTTTTGAGGCCGAAAAGAAAGCGAACTCCCAAAAAGTGAGGGCACGCGACTACTCACTTCCTCAGGTGCCGCCATCTTGGGGAGCAGAACAAAACTACTGCGCCTGCGCGGCGAGGGTTGGGCGGAGAGAAAGAAGTGCTTACGTCATCCGGACTCGTAGTGCCATTGGCTGGCTCCAGTCCTCATTTTCATTCGTCATTTGTGGTCCCCTTCCACCCCTGCAGGTCTGTCAGAACTGTCTACATCACTGCCTCATCCGCTCTGGTTGTCATGCCATCAGGGCAGGGATTTCCTCCCCCTGAATTCTGTGAGCCAGGAAACTTTCCCACTAGACAGAGCCCCTAAAAAGAGCTACGGCTTCTATCTCCAACTCCCAGAAGTCCTAGCCAGCGTGGGTTGCTGGGAGTTTTCTGGGCTGCATGGCCATGTTCCAGAAGCATTCTCTCCTGATGTTTTCCCCACATCTATGGCAGGCATCCTCAGAAGTTGTGAGGTCTGCTGGAAACTAGGCCATTTGGGTTTATATATCTGTGGAATGTTTAGAGTGGGAGAAAGAACTCTTGTCTGCTTGAGGCAAATGTGAATGTTGCAATTGGTCACCTTGATTAGCACTGAATGGCCTTGCAGCTTCAAAGCCTGGCTGCTTCCTGCCTGGGGGAATCTTTTCTTCAGAGATGATTAGCTGGTCCTGATTGTTACTGTCTGGTAGGAGTTGAAGTCCAAAACACCTGGAGGACCAAATTTTGCCCATGCCTGATGTAGATTATCATTTATATGAAATGCTTGGGAGCAGAAGTGTTTGGGATTCGTTTATTTATGGTTTTGGAACACCCTGCCTTTGCATATGTATACATCGTTAGATATCTTGATGGTGGGACCCATGTTCAACTATTACATTCATTTATATTTCTTATATGCCTAATCTGAATGTGATTTTATTGAATACTAGCCGTCCCGCCACACATTGCTGTGGCCCAGTCTGTGTATGTGTGTTTTGTGTGTATATGTGTGCGTGTATATATTTGTGTATATGACTGTCCTGAGTCGCCTCCAGGCTGATATGGGCGGGATATAAATAATGTAAATAAATAAATATGTGTGTTTGCATGTTTTGCGCATGCATTGTAATTTTTGTTTTTTGGCTTTTTAAGTATCTTCTGCTGTTTTTCAGTGTTTTATGAGTGATGGTCACTCGTTGGCCTGATAGGTGTATTGTGTCCAAATTTGGTATCAATTCATCCAGTGGTTTTTGAGTTATGCTAATCCCACAAACAAACATTACATTTTTATTTATATAGGTTAACAATTCTGGGTACATTAAACCATCCTTCCAAATGACAAGGCTACCCATTTGGACAGTTTTCAGGTTTTGGAGTGCCGAATAAAGGATGTATTGTTGCTTCCAGATGTGATGCTTTCACATAACTAGTTCATTCTGAAATTGGTTCAAAATGATATGACTCTTCTTTCCAAAACATCCCTTTGGCTTATCAGATAGTGTTTTTGTTTATTCATTCAGTTGCTTCCGACTCTTTGTGATCTCATGGACCAGTCCATGTTAGAGCTCCCTGTTGGCCGTCACCACCCCCAGCTCCTTCAAGGTCAAGCCAGTCACTTCAAGGATACCATCCATCTATCTTGCCCTTGGCCTGCCCTTCTTCCTTTTTCCTTCCATTTACCCCTGCACCATTATCTTCTCCAAGCTCTCCTGACTTCTCGTTATGTGGCCAAAGTATTTAATCTTTCTCTCTAATATTCGTTGCCAGTGTGATGTCTCTAGATAAAGGTTTCCCCTGACATTAAATCCAGTCATGCCCGACTCTGGGGTGTGGTGCTCATCTCCATTTCTAAGCCGAAGAGCCGGCTCCGGTGTTGTCCATAGACATCTCCAATGTCATGTGGCCGGCATGACTACATGGAGCACTGTTATCTTCCCACCGGAGCGGTACCTATTGATCTACTCACATAGAAAAAAATCACAAGGGGCCAAATCTGGAGAGCGGGCTGGTCACTCCAAATCCGCTCGAAAAGTAGGCAAAAGCACGCTCCTCACTGTTCCAACGCATGATGGCGACTGAACTGTGTCAGGACAAAACTTTATACTCCCGCCTCTCGAACGAGACCACTAGCGCTCCGCTATGTCTTCAACCAACTGAATGGTGTGCATTTTAAAAAAGGAAGTTATGCTGCTTCACCCTGTACAAGGCCCAAGATAACTTTAGAGACCCTAGCATTGAGATCTATCAGATTTGTGTCTCTTTAATAGTGACTTCACATATTTTTCAAAGTTTTGTTTCATTATATTATTGTGTAGCAGTTTAGTTGTAGCTGTGTTTGCTGTTAAATGTCTACATTTTGGTATGTTGTTGTTCACATGCGTTTTGTTCATCTGGAAATTGCAGGACATATTTCCCTCATCTAAAAATCTGGCCATTTGGGTCAAACAATGCTTTCTACAGAATAAAAAAAAAAAGAATTCCTTGCAAAAACAAACATACAGTGCTTTTCTGTTCAATCATACATAATGTATAAGTGATATTAAAATTTACTACAAGCCAAAACAAAGAATCTGATAAATATTAGTGCAGGTTTTATTACACATAGAAATATTACTAGTCACAAAATCTAAACTGTAGATTCCTATGGAAGGAGCACAGCTGCAAGCAATATAAGACAAGGAAGAGAGCCTCTAAGGCTCTTTGGAAGAATCAGGAACTCTCCTTTGTATTTGCACACACAAGACCCTGCCGTATTCTCAGCTCAGAAAGCATGTGGATTTTGTTCCATGGCAGGAAAATGTGTTACTGTGATCCTCCATCAAAGCTTTTTCTTCAGAGTAGTTGAGCAGGAATGTAGCCAAAGGGACAAAGCGCTCACAGAAGGTTCAATACTTTGGTCTTTTTACCTCAACCCTGAAATTAGAGAAATGTATGAGTTGTAAGATATGGAACAGCACACTAGGGAACACAAAACACAGGATCACAAAGCATGCTAAGACCTCTTCAAAGCCAGTAAGACAAACAAGAGTTTTTAACTCTCTTTGAGCCACATTCAGCAATCATCACTGTGGCATTTCTTAAATGTATTTGCTAATGTGACAACACAGAATGTGTGCTTGAGAGAGATACACACACACACATGTGGCATCAAGTTTTTACTATAAAGAAGCCAAGAGAAGAAAATATGGGAATGTTCAATCTCAGAGATGGTAGCTTCAATTGTTCTCTCAACAAAAGAACATGCAAACTACACAATAAATCAAACAGCTTTCTGTCAGGTTTGGATAGCATTATCTATTCAGACAAAAGGTCCATGGAGGCAATGAAACTGACTTCATGTGAGATTTGAGCAATTTAAAGCAGCAAGACTTCTCTTGTTGAACACCAAAACACAAATATCCTATTTTGACTAACAATCAGAGGGCCTTGCCAGACAGGCCCTATATCCCAGGATCTGATAACTGGTTTTCGGCATTAAACTGGATTATATGAGTCCCCACTGCCAGAAAACCTGGGATAAACAGAAGACCTGGGATCAGATCCTGGGATATAGGGCCTGTCTGGAAGGGCCCTGAGAATCCAGAGCCAAACACGGTTTTAACATTAAAGGATGTGATGTAAGCCACAGTCTCTACACCAGACTATCACACTGAAGCTTGAATACAGTAAAAGGAAGTCAGAGCTTCAGTCAAGACCCAGATATTGCCAGCATAAAGCTTCTAGCCAGCAAACTAAGAACAAGTAGTTTGGGCTAAAACTTGTAGGGTACCTATGAACTTTGTTTTGAATGTTAAAAGCTGAATAAAATTAATTCCTACTTTAGCTTTATCAGTATCCTAATGAAGGACCCTAATATAAAGTCAACTATTTGCTACTATATAGTTAACTACATATTTATAAATGCAGGGTTTTCAGATGCCATTTGACAAACTGCTTAGTTGACAGTAAAAAACCTTGAAGATGACACTGTTCTTCAACTAACACTTCAACTCACCTCCCCGCATCACGAAAATGGGTAGCTGCAATCTTTTGAAGACATACAACAACACTGTAAACTCAAGGGTGCCTTTCAAACAACAACTCAATAAAAGCAATTATACTAACCCATCAGCCTCCAACTTCTTCCTTTTTTCAATTATCTGTAGAGAAAGTACAATTAGTACATTGCAGATATAACAATAATCATTTCCTGTGTTGGGATCGCATTTATCTTCAACAAAGGAGCATGCACAAAGGCAGAATAGACTAAATGGCTTTCTGGTAGGTTTGATCAGCATCAGCCCATTAGAGATGGAAAATGGAAATTCTTTCTTGGCTTCTGCAGAATTAGATTCCTGACTGGAAGGTGGGTCAAATCTGAGAATGGCCAAGGCTGATTCAGAGCCCTGGAGGGTTGCACAGAAGGGTTTAACAACTGGGTTGTGTCTGTGTGAATTGAAGAAGCCGGCTAGCCAGAGGTTCCCCTTCAAACACCCTAGAAAACATCTCTGGAAAGCTCCAAAGAAAGCAGCAAACCTTAGGCCAAGGGTCCTCAAACTAAGGCCCGGGTGCCAGATACAGCCCTCCAAGGTCATTTATCCAGCCCTCACTTAGGGTCAACCTAAGTCTGAAACGACTTGAAAGAGCACAACAACAATCCTATCTCATCAGCCAAAAGCAGGTCCACACTTCCCACTGAAATATTAATACATTTATGTTTGTTAAAATTGTTCTTCATATTAATTATTGTATTGTTTTAAGTGCTTTTTGCACTACAAAGAAGGTATGTGCAGTGTGCATAGGAATTCATTCATTATTTTTTTCAAATTATAATACGGCCCTCCAACAGTTTGAGGGACTGTGACCTGGCCCTCTGTTTAAAAAGTTTGAGGATCCCTGCCTTAGGCAGTGGTTCTCAACCTGTGGGTTCCCAATGGTTTTGGCCTACAACTCCCAGAAATCCCAGCCAGTTTACCGGCTGTTAGGGTTTCTTGGAGGGCAAAACATCTGGGGACCCACAAGCTGAGAACCACTGCTTTAGAGGATAAGGGGGTTATAATTGAAATTGGTTTTCCCCGAGAAACTCACTGCACTGATTTTCTTCCACTGACGATCCAACTCAGCCTTGTCATTGGTCTCCTTAAAACGGCGTGTCTTACGGCCTTCAGACATTTTGATTCCATACTGGAATGCCGCTCTAGAAAAACAGGCACAAACAGAAATATAGATGAGAGAATTGCACCTTCACAGAAGCTGAGTGCAGACAGTTCTCTCACAGTTCTGAATCTATGCACTCAGCTCTTGCAGAAGAAGGCAAATAACCTGAGAGGGCCCCCCAACCATAAAGGATCATAATATTTGGCACACCATAGTCCATTTTGCATTTTCCCCTCCTAGGACAAGCTACAAACTCACTTGGGTAGAGCCTCCTTGTTATTCATGTACTCGCTGTATTCCTCCTGTGTATCAAAGTCCCAACGGCCAAGAGGTCCTTTTTTGTTTCCCTTGAAGAGAAAGAGAACAAGGAAAAGTTTGGTCGACCCAGGCATTGAAATTATCTGAACTGTACACATTACACTACAGATATGAAATACTGTGTTTGAATGTTTCCTTTCTCTGTTGAATAAACACACTTGAATTATCATCAAACAATAAACCTTATGATAGGCAGAAAGATTCTAGGTAAGGTCTGCTCTATAATTTTATTTTTACATATTTTAAAGTTTATTTTAAATTTACTTTAAAGTGGGACGTCTTAAAAAAAGTCAGTTCCATACATACAGCCTAAGGTGAGGCCCATCTCCATTTTGTCATTCTACTCTGATACAAATCAGGCCAAATTTAAAATGGGAGCAACATCAAATCTGAGATGGTACAGAATCTATATTCTGAGAGACTTTAGGCATCATGCTTTTTCCTATTCTAGAAATGCATATTTTGAAGCTGTAAACAATTGAAAACATACCTGATCCATTTTGCTGTAATCTACTTCTTCATCACTATCCACAGCCATGTCATCCATTCTAGAAAGAAAACAAATACTTGATAGCTCTCATTCTTCTGTTCACAATTCTGGAGGCATGGGAATACAGACTGCCATCAATATAGCAGCTTTATATAATCACAAACATGATAAAGTAATTTGTTATTAAGAGTAGTAACAAGAAAGCAACTGTTCATAAAAATGCAGCAAAGAACAAAGTTGGAATTTCAGCTGAACTTCTAAATATATTTTCCAGTATTTAATTTTTAGACCACTATGGAATATTTCAAGGTCAGTAGGTTGAATAAAGGTAAATCTGACACAATGAATGAAAGTACACTAACAAAGAATCAGACTTGTAAATCAAATGATATGATGTCTACATTTGTTTTGCACAATGAGGCAAATACTGTATTTCCTTGAGCCTAATGTACACCTTTTTGGTGAAATTACAGCACCAAAATTAGGGTGCCCATTAGTTTCATGTGTGTATGTATGTATTTATTTGCTTACTTACGATATTTATAGCCTGTCATTCTCAGCCATATGGCGACTCAAGGTGGGTTACAGATTGGCACAGTTTGGTGTCAGGCATTCATAAAAGTGCCATTAAAAACAATCAATATTACAATATAAAACATATATAAAAACTGTTAAAACATATAATCGTTGGTGTCATCCTGTTAAAAACGTTATCCAGTAACATCGTCTGGCCATTCCATGTTCATCATTCATGGATCCATGTTATCTATTCAACTGCATTCTCAAAAGCTTGCTCAAAGAGCCAGATCTTTACTTTTTTCAGAGTCTCTGCCAATTACACTTGCAAGGAAGGCGGGATCAAGAGCAGGGCCTCCCCAGATGAACTTAAGCTTCTAGATCAGTGGTTCTCAACTTGGGGTCCCCAGATGTTTTGGGCCTACAACTCCTAGAAATCCCAGCTGTTAGGATTTCTGGGAGTTGTAGGCCAAAAACATCTGGGGACCCCAGGTTGAGAACCACTGTCCTAGATGGTTCATAGGAGGAGATACATTCGGACAGGTAAGCTGGGCCGGAATCATTTAGGACTTTATAGGTTAAAGCCAACATTTTGAATTGTATTATAATGAGCTTAAGCGCTGAGCCAAAAAAGGAAGCTGTTTACACAGAGCAGCTATTGTAGATTTTGGGAGTATAGTCTTGGGGCACAGCCCAACCATTCTAGGGTACATATCCACTGCAGAATTAATACAGTTTGGTGCCACGTTTAATTGCCGCTATTATTATTATTATTATTATTATTATTATTATTATTATTATTATGCCATCATTCTCCCCTTGGGGACTCAAGGCAGCCATTGCTTAATATTATGGAATCCTGGGATTTGTACTTTGGTGAGGCATCAGCATTCTTTGGCAGCAAAGGCTAAAGACTTTATCAAAACTACAGCCCCCATGATACCATATCATTGAGCCAGGATGGTTCAAGTGGTGTAAAGCTGCATTCATTCTACTATGTGGATGCACCCCAAGGAAGCTAAGGTGAGATAAACAGTAGAGGTGCATTGAGGGATTACCTATTTATCTGATTTTCCTTTCCATTGCTGGAACCTTTGGTGTTCTTTTGTTTTTTAAAGAAGGCATTCTAAGCAAACAGCAATGCTAATGCACATCTTTTTGGGCCAAATTACAAAGAGTGCACTTTTTGCCATTGCATATTACATTTGCCAGGGTTTTGAAAATTGAGGTGTACATTAGATTTGATGGCTCATTAGACTCTAATAAATATGGTATGCAAATTGACAACAGGTGTTAACTGTTTCCACACACCAGCCCAGAAGAGTGTATTTCCTTAAAATAGACCACTAAAAACCAGGATAAAGCAAACCATCATTAAACTCTGAATGATTCCTAACACACCGATTCAAATACAAATTATGAGGAATACGGGATTCTTACGTTGCAGGATAGCATTCAGCATAGCTGTTTGACATCCCAAAGAAGTCACCAAGTTGCTTTTTGTCTTCAGTTTTTTTTAATGTGCTACAAGTTGAGGAAAAAGATGCATCACCAGAAACTGAAACAACTTGACCCGAATGACTGTATAATAAATGAACAGCTATAATTTACACATAGTGATAGAGGAATATTGTGTTAACTTATTTATTTTATTTACTTTATTTATATGCCGCTTTTCTCAGCCCTCAGGCGACTCAAAATTTCACCAATGATCTCTAACAAACCATTATTAACTAGTTAATGCTTCATACATTGAATGGGAGATATGAAGCCCTCCCTCCTGTTGGGCATATCCCTCAAGTACAAAATGTGTTTCAGCTCAGTGTACAGATTGTGGTCTTTTGGACCTTCCGCAGCATTTAAAATAAGTATCCTCTTCATATGATGGCCTGAAACTAGATGGGAGAAAACCTTCCTTCTGAAGAGAACTAAAGCTTCCCCGAACAGACTACTGAAGCTTTTTCCACTCAAAACAAGTAAACAAGTTTGTACAATGCATACATATAAAGGATATGATTCTGGCCCTTCCCAGCCACCTGCACCAGCAAATTTCTCATTGATTGATTTAATCAACTCTTTGGCTGAGCCAGGTCACAGACTACTGAAGCTTTTTCCACTCAAAACAAGTAAACAAGTTTGTACAATGCATACATATAAAGGATATGATTCTGGCCCTTCCCAGCCACCTGCACCAGCAAATTTCTCATTGATTGATTTAATCAACTCTTTGGCTGAGCCAGGTCCTGGAAACAAGGAAGATACACAAATACATTCTTCATTATTCTTACTTAAATGCAATTCCACTCCCTATTGCAATGTTCCAAGACGACTAGAACAGGTGCTTTGAAATCTGTTATATTAATTTAATTTTATACTGGTTTATGGCAAAAATACAGTATCCTCCTGTCTACTTCAACAAGACGGCACTTGAATCATGTAATAGTCCTCCTCGTAACTAACTGTTACTCAGAGTTGAACTGTAACCTACTAACATCTTTGTTACTAATTAAGTAATTAATTAATTATAAACAACTAGTCATAGGCAATTATGCCAAGCTCTGGACGAAACAAATTGTGTTCAATAACATTTTATTGCTCAAAACAAAATTTCTGTACTCATATTGTTATTTTTATTATTGAATTTCAAGCAAATGCTGATGTTGTTACCAAATAACAAAATAAAAAGGTGATTCCTGAAACCTGCCATGCCCGATCAATGGAACAAAATAATTAAAAATGTGGACTGTTTTAAATTCTAGGCAATATGATTACAAATGGAACTTACCTTTATCAATGTCAATAGGCTAAAAAAGGAGAAAGGAAAGAGGAATACATTAATCCCAAAACAACAAAGATGGATCTCCTGCTAGAAAGGACCCAGATCTGTAAAATGCTGTCTCCCCATACACTGCAATTTTCATCATTTTTAAAAAAATAAACAAAGACCAGGCAAAGACGCAACTGAAACTTGCTCAATGTCAGGATCACTGTATCAGCCTGGGACATGCCATAAAGAAGGGAGGGGGGGGGGGGCTGGGTACAGTTGGGGAAGGTAATGTAGATAAGACATCTGTTTTGTGAGGGAAATTGAAACTGCAGTTAACAGACTGTGAGCAGGGTGTTTGGCCACTAGAAGGCAGATAGGAGTTGGGATTGATATATACAGGAGGTTTGAGCAGGAAAACTGTCTTTTTAACATTGTGGAAGGAAGGAATAAACCATTTGTCTCCAGTGTTAATTTAATGTGAGCTTGATTTTAACTCCAAGATCTTCCAGAGTCTGCCACCCAAAGCCTCTGAAGAATTATTTCAAACCAATTAACTGGATTGGTCTAAAATAACACTATGTAACACAACTTTATTCCTGGGTTATAAATGTCATTTCCTAATTAGTTCTAAAATTAAAATAGGGGAAAAGTTTATTAAGCTGAAAAAACTTTGTTTCTGCAGGACATCCTGCAGCACATATTGCTGGTTTATCAATAAATATCTCAGAGTCTCAACCAATTTGTTTTTTGGAAGCCAAATAAACAAATTTTCTGGAGTATAACAACTACTTTTAAAGTAAGTACCGCACAATTAAATAGGAAATAACACTTTCAAACCTGGATCCAAAATGTAACAAATTTTGTTACATAGTGATAATTCAACATCTTCCACAGATGGTGGCAAAATTTGTGGTTCACAATAATTTATTTGAAATCTTAACCTATTACAGGAATTTTAACTTATTACTCTAAAAAAAGTTCAGGGGATTCAACTGGCCATAGTTGTATTTTCCCAGTCTGTTTGGTTAGAAGGAGATTTCGTCTTCCTTTTGTTGCAAATCAGAAAACAGAAAAAGGGTAAACTTCACTCCTAAAGTGAGTCCCCTTGGGGAGATGGTGGTGGGGTATAAATAAAGTTTTATTATTATTATGCTTATGATTATTATTTGTGGAGGTATGACTGAAAATCAGTGTCATGGAATTGTTGGGGCCAGGGCAACCCTTCACACTCCCGAAGATACATCCTGATGCCTGGAAGTTGTGCACCTGTGCAACAATGAGGACTTTACCACAGTTTCAAGGCCAAAGATCCTCTCTGCATACCTCATCATCTGCTTTGGGTTTCTCAAAGTAGCTGTGCCTCTTCTTCTCCTCCTCACGTTCCCGTTCTCTCTCCCGGTCTCGTTCTCGATCTCGCTCATGCTCCCGGTCTCTCTCCCTTTCCCGCTCCCGGTCGCGCTCCCTGTATCGCTCTCGCTCTTTCTCCCGAGGCACCTTTGCTGCAGACGGCACGTAATCTCCAATGTCCTCAAAAATACTTTTTTGTCAAACAGATGCAAGTTTGAAAATCAGTCAACCGATATGCCCAAATTACACAGGAGAACGAGAATAATAATAATAATAATAATAATAATAATAATAATAATAACAATAATATCAACAACAACTACTACTTTATTATTATATCCCACCACCATCTTCCTGAAAGTACTTAGGGCAGATTACACATGGCACAAAGTGTCTAAAAACAAACATAAAAGTGAACAAAATATAAAATACAAAAATTTAAAACACATGCACATATAAAAACATCAATTCACTCAATCAAGCTGCAATCCTCTAACTGTGGCAGTCAATTACGGGCACCATGGCCTTCCTTAAAGGCTTCACCAGCACACATCATTTTTTTTCAAGCAATTTCACCACCAATCCCATGTCCACATCAAGCACCGAGAAACGCATTTCTTTCCATTGCAGGAGGACCCTCTAATAAGGTGCCAGAATCTTGGGGAAAGTCCCAGTTATAATAAAACCAGTGCAATTTTATGGTTAGAAAATAATATGCTCAGAGGACAGCTTACTTACTTCATGTCTGCCTCCGGTGGTTTTTTCTCATCCAGTTTTCCTAAAGGAAAAAAAAAAGAGTAATCAGAGTATGATTATTTTGTGAATTTGTTATTTTCCAGTTAATACATAAACACTATAAAGCAGGCATCCTCAAACTGCGGCCCTTCAGCTTCAACTCCCCGAATTCCTGACAATTGTACAAGCTCATTAGGGCTTCTGGGAGTTGGAGGCCCAATCAGCTGGAGGGCCACAGTTTGAGGATGCCTGCTATAAAGCAACACTAATTCTTGCAGACATCTCAATGTCAATCATGGTGTGCAAAATTGGAAGTCTTTCAAATAGAGCAAATTAAATAGCATTTGACCTAAAATTCCATTTTAAGTAGTCTGTTCCATTAGAAGCTATAATTCAGCAGAAAACTCACATTCAGATGTCTCCTCATGACCAATCTTTTAATGTTTTCTCACATTATATAGAACTTTTCCTTTTGTTGCAATTAGTTATGAAATGGGCTTATGAGAAGAATAACAATGTCCACCTCAACCCTGAACACAGGCTCACCCTTGTCTTTCTTTTTGAGCTTTTTGTTACGGGTTCCTTGCCTCAAGTAGGAAAGAATCTGTGTCAGTTTGCTGATCACGATGTCATTTGTAGTCAACGTGGTCTGAGCCTAAAAAGAACAATGGAAAGAATAGGAATCCTATTGCTCGCTTAAAATTAATGAAACTGCAAATTCAGCAAAAGCAGTCAGGACTGTTACCTCCATGGTAGGGCAATCTGCTTTGCTTCTGATTAAGGTTGTGGGGATGTCTGTGTCAGCGTATTCATCATCAAGGTCTACCACATAAGCCATTCTCCCGGGCAGGAAGAGCTCATTCCGCTCATATGCTTTATTCTTGAACAACATCCGGTAAACGTTACGACCTGACAAGGAAGAAGATTCAAGCAGAAGCACCAAATGGAAGTAAGACAATTCAGTAATTCTTTGAGTCAGTACTACTTCAAACCACATCAAAATCAAAGCCAAAATATCAAAACAATGCTTATTTCTATCCCTCTGATTATCTACAATAATACCACAACCTACTCCACAATTTGCAGCACATATTAGCAAGCATCTGAATACTCTTACCTAAACGGGTCTTGAATTCAATTTTGTTTTCTGGATCTTCATCTTTTCTTTAAAAAAAAAGAAACATAATAAAAATATATATTTCTGTGACTTTTCCTCCTTTTATCAAAACATTTATCAGACCAGAATTCTATTATGAAAGAAACATACTTGGTTTCTTTCTGGGGCTTTTCCATCAGCTCTTCCTCTTCTTTTTCTTTGCTGGCAATCTCAGCACGGACCTAAGAAAAGAGATTTTTTTCATAAGGCCTCCTGAAGGCATTTTGAGCAACATATCCCACCAAATCAGAAAGGCAACTTCAAGAATATGAATAAAGAGAAAGATAAACCCTGACACATTCATGGCTTTTAAAAAAAGATTTAAGTAGCATATTTCACATATATTAAAAAGATTATATTTTAAACAAACAAAAATCCAAAAATAATTTGCTAAGATTCTAAAGAAACACAAAGACAAACCATACTATAAAACTGTCCTCTGTGAACAAGATGGAAGCTCCTTGAAACAGGTTTTCCTGTCCTGCTCCAATCCAGTCTAAAAAACATGATCAGCAGCCAAGAGAAAACTCTTACATACAAAGCATTGAACCTAGACTCACATTTACAACCATAGAATCTTTATAACTGGGTCTTTAGCAGATAATACTACGTAACATGATTTCTGTTTCTGTGGGACATCCTGCAACATGTCTGGTTATAGTTTTTCAAGTCTCAACCAATTCAACAATGTTTTGGTAGCCACAAAAATGAAGTTTCTGGGGCAAACAACTACTTTCAAAGTAAGTACTGCAGAATTAAACAATAAATAACACTTTCAAATAGTTTTTTCCCCAAATTTTGTTATATAGTGCAATGCACAGTATTAAAGAATTCAAGAAACCATTCTCAGGAACAGGTATAGGACTTAAAGTAAACTGCACAATCTAGAATGAATCTGAAATTCTAGGCAAAGTGAATTAAGCACGGAATTTGTTATCTTTCTTGATTAAATAATGTTTGTTTTGTTTTGCCTGTTTCAAACAAGTTCTGAAGCTGCTTAAAATCTGAGAGGCAGATATTACAAGCCTAAAATGGAATGATGTTAGATGTGAGTCCATACAGACAGTGAAGAGATTCCCTAAGGTGAAATACTTTTGTGATATTGCATTATCTGGCTTACCTTTTGCAGCAAAGCAAAATCCAAACCCTTCACCAAGTGAGTGTGCTCCATGTCACCACCCAAGAACTTGGACTCCTGAATTAACTGTCGCCTCTTTTCTGCCGCTGACTTATCTCTAAAACAACAAAAAAGCAACAATGAAATCAAAGCCCCACAGTAATATAAACAAAAAAGCTGCTCTCGTGACTGTACTCACGCCTCTGCAGTGGGTCCCACTGCCCTGTAGTTGGCAGTTGTGCTGATCAGCTCTGTTTCCTCGTAGTCCTTGTTAACACCATCCCTTCTCTCCTTGGCACGGTCCCTATACTTCTCGGCCAGTTCCCTCTCGCGCTCAATCTCTTGCTGACGTAGCTTTGCGTAATAGCTGGTATCAGAAGAACAAGTCAGTTACAATCAAAACACAGAGGCTATGGCGTTGTATCAAAATTGCCATTATTTATTAACACATACTGTATATACTTGAGTATAAGCCGAACTGGATATAAGCCAAACTGGGAAAACATATTGACTTGAGTATAAGCTGAGTGTGGGAAATGCAGCTGAGGGTGGGAAATTCCTACTATGAATCATCACTGAGTTTAAGATCATCTGTAGAGGCCCTGCTCTCGATCCCGCCGCCACCGCAAATGCGATTGGTGGAGACAGGGCCTTCTTAACAGTGGCTCCCCATCTGTGGAATTCCTTCCCCAAAGACATCAGACTGACCACCTCCCTCCTGTCCTTTAGAAGGAAGCCTATGGCCATACCACCCTGAACATGCCCAATCTCATCTGATCTCGGAAGCTAAGCAGGGTCGGGCCTGGTTAGTACTTTAGAAGGAAACTCAAGACTTGGCCGTGGGACCTTGCATTTGACCATGGAACAGTGGCTTGTATGAAGAAGACATAAGCAATTTCGAAGTGACAATGAATTGCCCCGAACGCGGATTTTAATTGGCATGTTTTAAGAAGTGTTTATTTAATTTTTTGTTTTAATGAATTTGTTGATTGTTCTTATCATGATGACGGCACCGAATGGTGCTTGCTGTGAGGCCACCCTGAGTCTCCCCTTGGGGGTGAGAAGGGCGGGGTACAAGTATATGAAATAAATACATAAATAAATGAATAAAAATGCAGCAGCTACTGATAAATTTCAAAATAAATGTAGCTGCTACATTTCCCACCCTCATCTTATACTCAAGTCAATAACTTTTCCCAGTTTTTGTGACAAAATTAGGTGCCTTGGCTTATATTCGGGTCAGCTTATACTCGAGTATATACAGTATGAGTTGAAGCATCAAGCCTTCATTTTTCGCACCAAGACTGGATAACCTACTTTAATAACCTTTCCTTAAAGAGCAGCCATCTACTTCTGGAAAATGTTTAATTAGAAAGCTTCTTGAATTTTAAGAAAAGTTTGGCTCTTTAGGAAAGCGCTGGGCCACTCTCAATCTCTCTCTCACCTTTTCTTCTTTCTCCTTCGAGCAGCTGGATCTTCATCTTCATTGTACTCTCTTGGCATTCTGAAGAAGACAAGAACATTCAAACTCGTTACAACAGCAGGTAAAAATGCAATAATTTAGTACTGATTAGATTTTTGTCAATTGCTTGAGTGTTCAGATTGTTTGAGTTTTGGTGAATTGAGAACTATTTTAAAAGCTACTGAAAATGAGAGGATGTAAAGTGAAATCTCAGTTAAAATTTTCCCTCAGTAATAACCTCACAAAGTGGCTGTAGATCTCTGGATTTCAATCCCCTTAATTCAAATACTAGGACAATATTATCTTACTTAATTACTGTAAATACCACATATATTAAATACTCTAAATCACCATATAAATATGAAGTTTTACTATTGTTTCAAGTTATGTTTATTGGCTTCAGTAGTTATATGGTTGTATACATATCACTTTCTTGTTCCGTACATATGATAAAAGAGACCAATATCAAAAATAGATTGTCTCGGGGGGAAAGATATTCAATGATGTTTTGTAAAACAAAGAAATGATGCTTACTCATGATGGCGAGATTTAGAAGGTGGTGCAGATGTTGGTGTAGCCCGAGGGGTCATAAGAAGCTTGCGGAAGTCTTCATTGGTCAGCTTAGATCTATGAGGAAAACAATAGGGTCTTACTGTAAGAAATATTTAAATATCTTGCATTAAAAACATGCTACAACAACGGGGGGTGGTGCAGGCTGTGGGCTCCATGGGATTCTCCAAACTCCAGTTTTATAGGCTTCAAAGTCTTCTAGCAATACAACAAATCTGTTCATGTTTTGTGGGACTTTGGGAGGAGAGCCTCAAATCTATCCAAAACTGCATATAAATGCTATAGTTTGCCATTTCCCACTCAAGAGTGGTTGGGGAGGAAAATACACACACATATCTGTCCTTCCCTGTAAGTTAGGGTTTGAATACACACACAAAAAACCAAACATGTTTTCCCTTGTACTACAAGATGTGATACATGAAAGAAATCAAATGTTTTTTTAGGAAATCCATATAGTAATCAGATTCATTGGCTTTCCTGCACTACTCTGCACAGATAAAAATGTCATTGAAGGATGTACAATTGTGCCAGCATGAACTGTTTATTGGTTCGTTTCATTCACCAAGCACAATTCATGAATCTTTTGTCATTTGGCAGTGCCCTATAATTTTTCACTGGTCTTGGTAATATGACTAAATGTTGAGGCTTCCAGAACACTCCACCTTTGACTTTTTAACGTGAAGTCAGAGACAATCCCCATTTCCAGCTCTGAGTTGGGAGCTAGAGAGAAGAGCAGGAATTAACCATGCAGTTGTGCTGGGTTTCTGGAATCCAATATAATTGCAGATTATTTGTGCCTCCTCCACAGCTGAAAGCTAGAAGGAAGGTTTAGAGTTACTTGTATCACACATGCAACTGAATACTATCCATGATGAATGGCACTATGGAGACCTGGGGACTGACAATGGATAAGAATTTGATCTCAAATGCCAAAAATAATGCCTACTTCAAAATACAACGAAAAAGCTCTACTCACTGGTTAAATGAGTGGGAATCATCTATCTCATGGCCATCTGGGGCCAGAGGGTTGGAGAACGGTTCACCTAGAAAGAAGAGAAAGAGAGCTAATTACAAACTAACACAAATATGCATGCTGCATGGAAAAGCATGTGTGAACACTACTCATCCAGATTGAAGGACATATTAAATAAAAAGTGGGCATTCAGGAACCGCATGAAACAAAGGGAAGCTAAGAGAGTTAGTGCAAACACAAAGTGTCACTAATAAGCTTTAGACTCACTAATCTGAAAGCACTGCAACTGCGTCTTATCCTACTTGAAAGAAAAAACTGAAACCCATGGTTGATAAGGAGAAACAGCTCTTGAGTAATCGGTGGTCCAAGGTAATAATAATAATGATGATGATGATAATAATAATAAAAATTTATACCCCGCAACCATCTCCCCAAGGAACTCGGAGCGGCTTACATAAGGCCAAGCCCGACAACACATCAATAAAACAAAAAGCAATAATAAAAAATATAACTCACATATAAACAATAACATGCAAGGATTTAAAAAAACCTATAGCTGGGCCAAATGTAATAGTTTAAAATTTAAAAAAATAAACACCGGGCATGAACAGAGGTAGGATGTATCTGGTAGGAGGGTTTTAAAAGAAATGAAGTGAGAGCAACCCAACGAGTAGTAAAAGTGCTTCTGAGGACATTTTGCTGGGAATTATTTCCTTATTCAGGGAAGGCACACTGGAACAGCCACATTTTCAGGCTCCTCCTTGCCCCTATGCCAATGTGGGGGCAAGACTACCATTTTACTTTCTACCCAGACATCATCAGCCTATTTTATTTATTTATATTCTGCTTTAAAATATACAAACATATAATAATAAAACGGTATTATCATTATATATTATTATATATTATCAGTGGTATTATAATTAGTACATTAGTATTAATAACCTATGTAATTTAGCTCCATTTTATAACAAGCGCATGGCAAAAATACCATGGACAGCTACACACAGGGAAAGCCACTTACAGGAAATTATAGGGACTACCTTACGTTTTACCCAAATTTGCAAGTTTGTTTAACCTATCTGAAACTCTAACCTAAATTCACTGACACAAGACTATGAATCCACTGCAAAAAGTTAACTCTAATACGCTCCGCTGTGTTAGATTGACATTACCATAATGTCATTGGAAAACAGACTTTGCATCTGTAGCCAGTGTTAGATGGAAGACGTTGTGCACTAAATGCTAAACTGCCCTTTGTTTAGTGACCTGAGGTATTTGAAACCCCTGCTAATAAAAGACAATGGCAACCGTCTTGTCGAAACAGTTCAGTTTTTACTAAGCAACTCAAATAATTATGTAACATATAAAGTGGTTCTCTTTGCTTTATCTGCAAAAAAGATCTGAAAGAAAGAGCTAGATAAAATTGTAATCAACTGCTACGGAGACTCAAAGGGCTAAGTTGACCCTCCCCCCAGTAATTATTAATAATTCATATTATTTTTTGCTCTTTGTGTAAGCATGATTCACCTATGTTTGTTATTTTTGTTTATTTTATTTATTAGAAGTGTGCAATTTTTTGTTAGTCCTCGTAAGTCAGATCAAATTCATTAAATTTGTACTTATGACGTGATATCTGACACATGGGCATGGTCTGCGCCAAAAACTTAAGAACCCAAAACATTTTCGTTTGCATTTTGTAAATCTCGGAAGCTTCCTAAAGTCAGTTTCATTTTCAGTGCAAGGAAGCAAAGCAAAACAAAGCCAAAAAGGCTGCATTTCCTCTTTAAATTAATAGCCTCTTGCCATTGGGAAAGGGAAGAAGCAGGGAGAAAGCAGAGCTCACTGGGAAAGAAAGCACAGAATTCTGGAAAATGTAGTTTGGAAAGGCAAGGAGACTTCAAAAGGCCCTGCCCTAAACTACATTTCCCAGAGTTCTGCTCAGTATAAAAAAGCCCCAATTAGGAGAGGGGAGAGATTTGTCCCTCCGTCGCTGCAGCCAGCCAGAGTACCAATAAGTTGTTGAATCTGCAAAGAGGAGGACTGACTGATACTTCTAGTAAGTAAATCTCTGTGCTGGGCTGGGAAGAAATCCCTAAATGGAAGTTCTATTGGTTAATATGAGACATTCAATGAGATAGATGTTGTGGCGTTAATTTTTTTTAAAAAATCTCTAAAATCAGTTGATGTAGGAATATTTCTGATAGTTGGTGGGAATTATTATGTTATCTTGTGTCATTGTTCAGAAAATTCTTGCAGTTTTTAAAATGTTGTTTATAAAATCTTTGAAAATTCCCCAAAAATCCTTGGATAAGTGAAAGGTCCCGAAACTTAATGGGCAATGTGTTCCACCGTTGTACCAAGTGTCACCCCAATAGCTGTAAAAACAAGCAAGCCCCTAAAGTTTCCCCACTTGCACAAATACTGTAACGAAAAAGTAATTAAATTTCATTACTGCCATGATAGCAACAAAATTTTCAATAATGATACTTTTGAAAAGAAATGACAGTGCCCCCTAATTTTGACATTACTTTTGAAACATTTTTCCATCGAACATGCCTAGTTTTTATTTATATGCCACTTTCCCCCCTTAAAATACTTGTTCCTTTAAAAAAACTATTTTCAAAAAGGCTTGAAATGTATTTATTTACTTATTTATTTACGACATTTATATGCTGTCCTTCTCACCCCAAAGGGGACTCAGGGTGACTTACAAGTTATATATAAATACAATATATTATATTACTAGCATAGCACAATATTACTAGCATACATTTCCATATTGTACTACACCACTATACTATATTATTAGTAACCAGCCGTCCCTGCCACGCGTTGTTGTGGCCCAGTATGTGTATATATGTGTGTGTGTGTATATAATTGTGTATATATGAGTGTTTTGCGTATATATATATGTGGTTTTGTGCATGGGTTGTAATGTATTTTTTTTATTTTTTGGCTTTTTAAGTCTCTTCTGCTGTGTTTTTCAGTGTTTTTATGAGTGATGGTCACTCATTGGCCTGATAGGTGTATTGTATCCAAATTTGGTGCCAATTCGTCCAGTAGTTTTTGAGTTATGTAAATCCTACAAATAAACATTACATTTTTATTTATATAGACTAGCTGTCCTCTGCCAAGCCTTGCTTTTGTGGCCCAGTCTGTGTATATGTGTTTTGTGTATGTGTGTATGTTTGTGTACTTACTTAATTAGGTGATCCCTTGTTGTCCGAGTAAGATTGTCCTCCAAGTTTGGTATTTGTGTATATATGTGAGCTTGTAAATATATATGGTTTTGCACATGCGTTGTAACGTATTTTTTATGTTTTTGGCTTTTTAAGTCTCTTCTGCTGTGTTTTTCAGTGTTTTTATGAGTCACTTGTTGGCCTGATAACATGTATTGTGTCCGAATTTGGTCTCAATTTGTCCAGTGGTTTTTGAGTTATGTTAATCGAAGTCTGTAAACTGAATGTGTAGCAAATGTGAGGTTCCCTTTTCTATGGTTTGTACTGTATTTATTCCTTTTTGTTATGTAAATGCCAATAAAGGCTTATTGGATTGGATTAAGCTATGCTAATCCCACCAACGAACATTATATTTTTATTTATATAGATTACATATAGTATGAAATACCGTATATAATTATTATATTGCATTATTATCAGTATTGTATTGTATTATATTATAATCTATATAAATAAAAATGTAATGTTAGTTCGTGCTATCATCAGAACTCAAAAACCACTGGGGAATTGACACCAAATTTGGACACAAGACACCTAACAGTCCAATTTATGTCCTCCACTCAAAAAAATGATTTTGTCATTTGGGAATTGTTGTTGCTGGGATTTATAGTTTACCTACAATCAAAGAGCATTCTGTACTCCACTAATGATGGAATTGGGCCAAACATAGCACACAGGGCTCCCATGACCAACAGAAAAAACTGGAAAGGTTTGGTGGACATTGACCTTGAGTTTGGGAGTTGTAGTTCACCCACATCCAGAGAGCACTGTGGATTCAAACAATGATGGATCTGGACCAAACTAGGCATGAATATTCCATATGCCCAAATATGAACACAGATGGAGTTTAAGGGAAATAGACCTTGACATTTTGGAGTTGTAGTTGCTGGGATTTATAATTCACCTACAAACAAAGAGCATTCTGAACTCCACCAATGATGGAATTGAACCAAACTTGGCATACAGGACTTCCATGACCAACAGAACACACTGGAAGGGTTTGGTGGGCATTGACCTTGAGTTTGGGAGTTGTAGTTCACCTACATTCAGAGAGCACTGTGGACTCAAACAATGATGGATCTGGACCAAACTTGACACAAAAATTCCATATGCCTAAATATGAACACAGATGGAGTTCGGAGGAAATATACCTTGACATTTGGGATTTATAGTTACTGGGATTTATAGTTCATCTACAATCAAAGAGCATTCTGAATCCCACAAACGACAGAATCGGGGCAAACTTCCCACACTGAACCCCCATGACCAACAGAAAATACTTAAGGCCARCCAGTCCAACTCTCTTCACCAGGGCAAGAAAATCTAATCAYAGCCCTCKWGACAAKGAGCCATCCYGRCAWAYATATKGATAGATAGATATGATTTTCWCWCWCACACASASAGATATAGTATCATAGATTTGAAAGAGACRRTTAAAGAAGGACTATGATATGRTGCATATTCCAGAGTYGGCAAACCAGACACTCTCCACATCAACACTGACAAAGAAACAACAAGAAATACTGTTTACTCACAAGCAGAAAGGAATTACATGTATTAGAAACCATTACTTTATTTTCCAGATCACCAGACTGGGCCACAGCAACGCGTGGCAGGGGACAGCTAGTATTATCATGAATATTATATGTAACACCCAGAATCCCTGCAYCTCCCTCTCCAAAGAAGGTGAAGGAAAACCCCGCCTGGATCTACACGACCATATAATGCGGTTCCAAACTGCCACCTCGATAGGCCGCAAGGCGACCCCACTGGTTGAAGGGAGAATCAGTCCCGCTGAGAGGAGGCCTGCCCTGAGCTCCGTGGCGCAAAGCCCCCGTCCCGCTTCCCGCAAACACTCACTCTCGCGTTCCGGCATTTTGGCTTCCTTTCCACCGGAGCCACCGAGGGGAGAAAACAACAAGGCCGCGAAGGGCTGCCTTTTCCCCACAAGGCACCGCGGCACCCAAAAGGGGCGGGGCGGGGCGGTGGGGAAACTTTCACCCACAAGGCACTGCGCGCATGTTGTGGACGTCTTTACTGCTTTCCGCCTCTCCGTCAACCGCCCCGCCCCCTACCCTTATATTTTGCATATCCCCGCCTCTTTCGAGCGCGCATTGGCCAAAGGAGGCGACCAAGGCACGCCCACAAACGTGATTGGCAGTTGTTCTGCGAGGCAATATGGCGGCCGCCTCAGTTCGTGTCATTGGGAACACTCTCGGTCGGAACCTCAAGGAAATACGGATCCACCTCTGCCAGCGCTCGCCGGGCAGCCAGGGAGCCAGGTAGGCGGGAGGCCGAGCGTCAAGGGAAGGCCTTCCATACCTCTCTCATCTTTCCAAACATTGTAGCAATGTCAGACAGGAAACAATCAGGGTCAGCTAACACCTCCCAACAAAGCATTACCCCGGGCAGGAAGCAGCCAGACATTGAAGCTGCAAGGCAATTCAGTGCTAATCAAAGTGGCAATTGCAGCATTCTTGCCTCAAGCAGGCAAGAGTTCTTTCTCCCACCCTGGGCATTCCACAGATATATAAACCCCATTTTTCTAGTTTCCAACAGACCTCACAAACTCTGAGGCTGCCTGCCATAGATGTGGGCGAAACGTCAGGAGAGAATGCTTCTGGAACATGGCCATACAGCCCAGAAAGCTTACAGCAACCCAATGTCAGTTGACCTGGCTATGTAGTAGTTGACGTTGAGACTCTGGTGATGCCAAGGCCAGTAAGAAAGGAAGCTTTCAATTTCCTTATGTAACTTTCCCTAGTGTAGCTTTCATGCTTAATATCATGCTTAATATCAGCCTCTGATGGGACTAGAGCAGGGATCCTCAAACTAAGGCCCGGGGGCCAAATGCGGCCCTCCAAGGCAATTTACTTGGCCCTCGCTTAGGGTCCAACCTAAGTCTGTACCGACTTGAAAGCACACAACAACAACAACAACAACAACAATCCTATCTCATCAGCCCAAAGCAGACCCACACTTCCCATTGAAATACTAATATTTATATTTGTTAAAATTGTTCTTCATTTTAATTATTGTATTATTTTTAAGTGGTTTTGCACTGCAAATAAGATATGTGCAGTGTGCATAGGAATTCATTCATTTTTTTTTTTCAAATTATAATCCGACCCTCCAACAGTTTGAGGGACTGTGACCCGGCCCTCTGTTTAAAAGTCTGAGGACCCCTGGACTGGAGCACTGCTTCCCAAACTCAAGGCCTCCAGGCTTTTTGGACTTCAGTTCCCAGAAGTTCAAAGCACCTTGAGTCTGGGAAACATTGGACTAGAGCAGGCATGGGCAAACTTTGGCCCTCCAAATGTTTTGGACTTCAACTCCCACTATTCCTAATAGCTTGTGGCAGTTAGGAATGGTGGGAGTTGAAGCCCAAAACACATGGAGGGCTGAAGTTTGCCCATGCCTGGACTAGAGTCATGAATCACAGTGAAGTAGAGTGGGGTTCTTTGATTTTAACTTTGAATGTTCCTGCTGAACATGTCATTAAATGTAGCAGCAGTCGTCACACCTAATTTGACCCTAACCCTTGGAACCCAATGGGAACCTACATTTAATCTAGCTAAGCAGCCTCATTACTGTTCCCATTGGGTGGTTAATGCGCTATTGTTGTTGTGTGCCTTTGCTTCTGACTTAAGACAACTCTTAAGGTGAACCCATCACTGGTTTTCCATGGCAGGATTTCTTCAGAGGGAGGTTGCCTCTAAGGATGAGAATCTGTGACCTCCCTCAGATCATCCAGTATCTTTGGGGATTTGAATCCTAGTCATAACCCACTATTCAAACCATTATGCCTCATTATTGGGACTCCTTGTGAGGAGGCTGCAGCCTTGTCTTTGGTTCTTTCTTTTGTTTAATCACTGTTTTGTCTGATTTACTATGTATTTCATAGATACATTTTGATATGTATCTTTTACGGTGGTACATTTCAGTGTCTGTATGTGTAGTGTTTTGCTGTGTTTATGTATTTAAATTGTTTTGTAACCCGCCTTGAGCCACGAGAGGCAGGTAAGAAATATTATTATTACTATTACTATTATTACTATTCCCATGCTTTATATTCTCTAAGTGAATGATTTGCACTGGCCAACCCATATTTTGATGCCTCAAACGTTAGCCATTTCTGGGTAGACGTGCTGATAACAAAAATGGCATGAGTTTTCTCCCAATGGCTCTTATAAAGTATAGCATTCTTCAGTAAGAAAATGGTCATGTTGGCCAAACATGCACAAGAACATTTCTACTGAATGCTTCTGAAGTGTATTCTCTAGTTGATATGAGAAGACTATAGAGCAGTGGTTCTCAACCTGCGAGTCCCCAGGTGTTTTGGCCTACAATCCCAGAAACCCTAGCCAGTTTACCAGCTGTTGGGATTTCTGGGAGTTGAAGGCCAAAACATCTGAGGACCCCAAGTTGAGAACCACTGTTTTAGAGAGTCCCCCAAGCCATCTGCAGCAGAAAATTGATGTTAAAAGTATTTTCTGCAGATTTAAGGTGTGAAAGTCGCTACATTGGAGATGTTATATTAAATTACTATGAAGGTCTCAGTTCTAACAGAGTATTTCTATGCCGTTTCTAACTTGAAAGATCCTCACTCTGAAACATGTTGGTATTGTGGCTTCTTGTTGCAGAGACTTCATTGAACAGCACTATGTCAGCTTAAAGAAGGCAAATCCAGACTTCCCAATCCTGATAAGGGAATGCTCAGATGTACAACCCAAACTCTGGGCTAGATATGGTGAGTTGAGAAGGGCTTGTTGGTAAACTCTGTTATTGCAGGTAAGAGGGCAGCAGTGCAAGTATCTCACCCTTAGCTTCTGAAATGTTGAAAATTAGACTTTCCTCTTCTATTCAGTAGGATAAACTGTTATTCTGAATTACTCAGATTCTTTTTTGTGTCAGGAGCAACTTGAGAAACTGCAAGTCATTTCTGGTGTGAGAGAATTGGTCATCTGCAAGGACGTCGCCCCGGATGTTTGATGTTTTACCATTTTCCCCGCATGGGGAGCTGGAACCGACAGAGGGAGCTCAACCCGCTCTCCCCAGATTCGAACTTCTGACCTATCAGTCAGCAGTCCTGCTGGCATAAGGGTTTAACCCATTTGCCACCGGGGACTCTAATTAGTCTCATAATTCTGAAGAACTTGACAGAGATCCCAAATCTAATCAGTTACCTAAAAAGAGACAGGATTCTGTTTGTAAAGTCTTTTCTTACACTGATATTGGAGTTGAGGTCTGACCAAGCAGAGTAGTTAGATGTTGAAGTAGTCATTAAAACCTTTCATACATATTTAGCACCTTTAATGATGACTTCACACCAAGACTTCTGAGGTTGGTGACAGCCAAAGAACTCTAAGTTTACCCTGGTAAATGGCCTATCTAGTACCTTTACTAAGAATGTTTATTTCATACTCACTTGCAATTAAGACAATATTGTCATGGACAGACTGGTGCTTTCTTGAGGTTAGGGCACTGTCTATTTGCATGCAATTAGAAGTAAAATCCCCCCTTATCTAAGTGTTTCTTTTTTTTTCTCCTCAGCATTTGGCAGAGAGAGGAGTGTGCCACTGAATAATCTTAACGTGGATCAAGTTGCGAAAGCGCTGGAGAACATTGTGATTACTAAAGCATAAAGATAATGTGTAACAACTACTTTTGAATTTGAATAAAGATGTAAATATGTGTAACCTTTTTTCTGTATAAAGGTATGTAACTGGCAGCATGAAACCAGAATGTCTTATTTTAAGCAACAACTCATCACTTCTTTCCAGGCTGAAGAGGAAGCATTGATGAGTATGCTTTGGGTTTGTTTGCTTAACTAATTAAAGATTCACTTAACCGTAGTTTTGCTTAGCCCACATTTGACTACTTTGTAAGCCAGAAGGTCTTGAGGGACCTTGTCGAAGGCCTTACTGAAATCTAGATATGCTACATTCATGGCATTCCCTGCAGATGCATGACCACCAAGTTTGCAGTTGACACCAAATTGAAAGGGATCGCTAATACCCCAGAAGAGAGAAGCAGAATTCAAAATGATCTTAACAGATTAGACTCAAAGTGGTTCTCAACCTGGGGTCCCCAGATGTTTTTGGCCTTCAACTCCCAGAAATCCTAACAGCTAGGTAAACTGGCTAGGATTTCTGGGAGTTGTAGGCCAAAAACATCTGGGGACCCCAGGTTGAGAACCACTGATCTAGAATCTCACAAATCTCAAGGAGTGTCTTTGCTAGCTTTTATTCCTCTTCCAAGGAGAAAGCTATAGTCACAAGCCAGTATAGTTCATTTTGCATGTGCTACTGTTTCAAATTTTTAAACAAGTAAGCTGTAGTTCTTCAGCCGAATCTGCAAGGGAACAATCCTGATGGAGAGCAGCTGGCTGACTGATAGTCTGGATGAGGGCTTTCACCTGATCTTGCAACTGTGGGTCATCTTCATGCTGCTGTAACGCCTGTAATCCTGACTGATGTACAAAATCGGTGGTAGCCTGGGCCAAAAGAAAGAACAAGAATTAGCGTTGCATTTACCACGGCATCTTGACTGTCCAGGGAATTCAGTACTACTACGCAAATTTGTACCTCTGGCCAGTGGAGGAAGAGGAGATGCAGCAGTTCCAGAACTTGGACTATCACTTCGGAATCAGGAAGGGAAAGAGTGCCAATGAGGGAAGGAAGCACAGCTTTCTGGTGCAAAGTCTGGCAGTAAGCAACACCCTTTGCAGCTACATTGCATAGCACTGTTAGTACCTGAAAATGAAGTCGGATCCAGTGAGTTATGAACTGCTCCTCTGTTTCATGCAGTAACGGCAATGAACTTCTGCATTCTTAAATGTCAATATATGGCTGCTTTTCTACATGCCACTTTCATTGATTTTCTGCCTACAATTTTCTGGCTTCATTTTGATGTTCTGAGCATGTGTGAAAAACAGTGGTGACTGCTGGAACAGAGTTTACTCAGCGTGTTTCTGAGGTGCTGAGAACTAGGGGCTCCAGGCAGGAGTTTGACACCCCTCTGATTCATGCTCCACCTCTATTCAAAAATATATACATGTAACTCAATTTCATGCTAAGCTGCCCAAAAGTTCTTAATTTGTTAAAATTAAGAGCTGTTGTAATCTGTGGACTTCAACATTGCGGCATTTACCTTGGTTTTTTTTAATGTCATAACTGATACCTAGAGTTAGATGGAAAAGATTCTAGGCATACATAATTGAAGGATTCTGAACCCAGGAATTCATTTTGAATACTAAAGCTGAACCAATCTCCCTATTATTCTACATAAAAGTCCACTCAGGATAAAGAAGTACAGCCATTAATTGAGTCGTCTTGTTTCTCTTTTTTTGAAATAGTTGAAAATCAGAAATATCTGATGTAATACACAACCCAAGGAGTCTGGTAATTGATCCCAGTCTACATTGTGCCTGCATCAACTTGAGTATCAAAACATCTCAACTCAAGTCATAATTTAAACTGCTGTATTTCGTAAACTCTAAGACACTTTCCCCCTAAATAAATGTCTTTAAAATGGAGTGCACCTTACACTCACAATTGTATTTTATGTATTTTGGTGGTGGTACTGAAATTTGGTTATGCCTTACAAATGAAGAAATACAGAAAGTTTTAGGACCACAAAAATGCTTTTTAGGTTGTAAAAGGAGTACTTTGTAAATCCACTAAACACATAAAGTTACAGCACAACTTCTATTGTTTACATATAGTAAAGGTAAAGGTTTTCTCCTGACATTAAGTTCAGTCATGTCTGACTCTGAGGGTTGGTGCTCATCTCCATTTCTAAGCCAAAGAGCTGGCGTTGTCTGTAGACACCTCCAAGGTCATATGGCTGGCTTTTTTTTTTTGTCATATCACTAGCGACTTGAGAAACTGCAAGTTGCTTCTGGTGTGAGAGAATTGGCTGTCTGCAAGAAAGTTGCCCAGGGGATGCCCGGATGATTTTTGATGTTTGTATCATCCTTGTGGGAGGCTTCTCTCATGTCCCCGATGAGGAGCTGGAGCTGATAGAGGGAGCTCATCCGCTCTTCCCCGGATTCGAACCTGCGACCTGTCGGTCTTCAGTCCTGCCGGCACAGGGGTTTAACCACCTCCAAGGTCATGTGGCCGGCATGACTGCATGGAGCGCTGTTACCTTCCTGCCGGAGCGGTACCTATTGATCTACTCACATTTGCATGTTTTCAAACTGCTAGGTTGGCAGAAGCTGGGGCTGACAGCGGAAGCTCACGCTGCTCCCCAGATTCAAACCTGCAAACTTTCAGTCAACAAGTTTAGCAGCTCAGCAGTTTAACCCTCTGCGCTACCGAGGGCTCCTGCTTACATATAAGGCATCTGTAAATAATCGTCCTATTTGCCATAGACAGTATGATCCCTTGTTCTCGTGCCTGCCTTTCAGCTAAAAGCTACATTCAGTAAAATTCCAGCTGCTCCTATTACATGTGTGCAAAATAAGACCAGGTAATTTTAATTAGGGGGATATTCCATCCCTGATCCCCATTGTTACTTACCAGTGAGCTCACCATCTGATGAGAATGTAAGAGTTGCAGTAGAGATGGAAAGAGATCCACGTTGAGCAGAGCAGAGCATGCAATGGTGCTGTCAGCTTGAAAAGAACAATTTTAAAAAATCATCACTTCTTGTATTTTTATATTAGTAAGAACTAAAGAGGGAGCTGCCAAGGGATAGTCAGGTATAAGGGAAACTTGGATCATGCAAGCAGCAGGTAGTTGGACTAGGCTTGAATTTCTGAAACTGGTAGCTTTCTCTTTCTGAGGAAGACAGGGAAAAAATTATAGAATCAGTTGGAAGAGACCTCAAGAGCCATCCAATACAACCCCATTCTGCCATGCAGGAACACACAATCAAAAGTCCTACATTAATCCTGCCGTGTATAGCAAATAACCTAGTGTAGGGGTATCAAGCTCATTTTCTTCGAGGGCCACATCAGCCTTATGGTTGCCTTCAAAGCGCCATTCGTAATTTTAACACAAATTGTACGGAACCACCCCATCTGCCAAATGCTGGCTATGTTCTCTGTCTCTTGCATTTGAAACACAGGGGATGCAGCCAGGGCTGGGGAATGATGGGAATTGCAACCCAACAACACTTGCGGAGGGGGAAGCTTCCTTTCTGCTGCTCTGGAGACTAGGTCACAAAACCATGGATTCAAATTGCAGGAAAAGCCTAGTATGCATATGTACCTTTGCCTAGTTTCAAACTTAGCGGTTTGTTTGCATGCATCCAGACTTTTCAGGCCAAAATAAATTGATGTGACATGCTGGATTAGGTCCACAGGCCTTGCTGTGGCCTAGCTTTTCACTACAAAGATACCTATATTTTTGTAACTATTTGTATTTTAATAACTTCCTTGTATTTAAGATTATCTTTTTTCACCACGATTAAGATTGCTCTTTTACTGTTTGTGGGTATGATAGAAAAATAAAATAAAATAGGAATAAGCAGCTGTAACAATTGCTCTTATCCAGTGTGAGTTCCAAGAAGAAGGTTCAAGCAACATACCTGTGAGATTGTTTATAAGCCACAGAGCCTCCTGAACGATATATAGTTGTTTGTGAAAGAAGTATTGTATAAAGACAAATATGGCTCTCAATAGACGCTCTTCCCCTCCCAGTAGTTGACCACTCTCAACCTCATCTTCTGCAAGAAGGTTGGCAACACATCGAACCACAGGACAGATCAACTGAAAGTAGCAGAGGGGAAAAAAGCTTCAGAACAGAATCAGAGCTACAACCTGGCAAATTGAAAGTATTTGTCATTTACTTTACCACTTCAAGGCCCTCAGCAGAAGTTGTTGATATCATGGAAGCCAGTTTTAGCAACAGCTGTACTAGGGATGGTATAATATTTTGGGAGATCAGCAGTGCATTGTTCACCCGGCTGCAAAAAAAAAAAAAATGAAAGCAGGTTCGCTCTAAGAGAACTCTATTCCACTAGTTCCTTACATGTAAAACAATGTGTCTGACATACTGGACAAACTAATTTGGTATATTTCATATTCCATAAAAACTCATTTACCTGCAAATAATGTAGTGAAGACCCCATGCAAATTCAACTGCAGCTCCCATTCCTTCCTCCAGATTAGAACAAACCAATCGAAGCATGTTTTGGGGGATGGTGGAATCTAGGATCAAGCTGAAGATAGAAAAATATCTGTTTAGTTATCAAGGAAATCAAGAGGACAGGGATCATCGTGCTATGGAGGAAACATCTGGCTTGAGTAGCACATGAGAAGCTATAGTTTCCTGCATAGGCTTTTTAACATCCTTCAAGACTCTTGTCATCTATAAATTCTCATAGAGTTTTATATTTTTGCTGTCTCTTTCTTCATTTCTTTTAGTTGGTTCAAGTGATAACCCTATTGCACCAAGAATTTTACTCTTAGACAGCATCACATGAAAAAGTAAAATGAGTAATGTGGTAAAAGAAATCTGTAGGTCCAGGAAAACAAATAATCCTACTTATGATAAAAGGAGATTTGTGAACAGTTTCCTTTCAGAGTGGATTCACTTCTGTGCTTCGTAACCAGTACATTTAAGACTGGGTTGTCCAGAATTACATTACAAATACTCATTGCATAATAGCTACCTTCCTACCTAGAATCTTGCGCTCACATTGACTGAAACGGTCTTGATTAGTACACTTGACTTCATAGAATCATAGAGTTGGAAGAGACCTCATGGGCCATCCAGTCCAACCCCCTGCCAAGAAGCAGGAATTGCATTCAAAGCACCCCTGACAGATGGCCATCCAGCCTCTGTTTAAAAGCTTCCCAAGAAGGAGCCTCCACCACACTCTGGGGCAGAGAGTTCCACTGCTGAACGCTCTCACAGTCAGGAAGTTCTTCCTCATGTTCAGATGGAATCTCCTTTCTTGTAGTTTGAAGCCATTGTTCCACTTCTACCCATCTTTGTTATAAAGTTGAAGATTGCTCAAAGTTACCCCTTTGAGACGGAGAGACATCCTACCCACCTTCAAAGTTGTAGATGCCACTGAAACATCAGGAGAGAATGCTACTGCAACATGGCTATACAGCCCGAAAAACTCACAACAATCCAGTGATTCTGGCCATAAAAGCCTTCAACATTCCATCTTATGTTCCATGATAATTAACAACTATATCAGAGGTGGGAAATCTTACAGTCAGATATCCTCAAATGGCTACCTTTGGATCACAAGGTTCCTGTCCAATCTACATGGAGCTCCTGGTGATAGTTATCCAAGGGTTTGAAGTAAAGTGTCATGAATATGCTAATGGCACACAACTCTCTTTCCTTCTGCCATCTGAACCTGTTTTGGTAGTGAACTACAAACTGTACATGATAAATGGATTGCACAGGAAGCTGAATTTTGGTAACCTAGAAGCATTACAGTTGGTGATTCAGACATCTGAAAAATCAGCATTCAAGTAATTATGGACAATATTGCATCTTCTTGAAAAGGATAAGTGATTTGGGATGCTCCCTGAATACAGCATTGAGTCATACATCCATAATCTTAGACTAGTGCCCTGCTTTCTATTGACGTCGCTTTTGGGACAAAGGTAGACAAGAGTTTTATATCTTATACAGACACATAGATATACATCATCCTTAAACCGAAAAATAACTTCACTTACGGTATAATTTCAGTGGGCGCCTCCCTGGATTGCAAGAGTTGGGACAGAACATAGCCAACGCCTTCTTGCACCACCACATGAGGAGACTGGAAACAGAGAACAATACTCAGCCTCCAATGGTTTAAAGTTAAAACAGAGCTTTTGGAATTTACTTATTAGGACTACAACTCCCAAAAGCTCTTGGCCAGCATAGCCAGTGACTGACTATGTTAGCTGGGAGACTTGGGAAGTCAAAGGTTCCCATACAGTCCAAAGTGCAAGTAGGGGACAGAAATGACCATAAACAAAATCAACATAGACTGAACATTCAATGTCAGCATTAACAGAACTATTCGAAATACCGTGTGAACAGTTGTTAAGGTCACCAACATTTCTAACAATACAGTAAAGCAGAAATGCTTACATATCTTGTTGACACACATATCTAGTTAAGAAGACTCTTTGAAATCTTGGTATATTTCTTCAAAAATGTTGGTACCAGAAATTTATAATTTTAAGTAACATGCTCAATGACATTACAAAAAGATAACTGTCTTGCAGCCAAATGTACTCTTTGATGAGACAAGATGCCTAGAAAAGATTGCTTATCACTCACCTGGATACAGGATGCCAATACTGGGATGATGCCTTGGGGTAGAAGTTGCTTCTTCACAGTCTTCATTTCAACCACCAGATTCCCCAGCGTATACAAACACAATTCCTAAAATACATTGGCGTAAAGTGTGTCCCATCACAGAAGAATAGAATTGGAAGAGATCGTATGGGCCATCCAGTCCAACCCCATTCTGCCATGCAGGAAAAGCACAATCAAATTACCCCTGAGAGATGGCCATCCAGCCTCAGTTTAAAAGCTTCCAAGGAAGGAGCTTCCATCACATTCCATGGCGGGAAGTTCTTTCTAATGTTCAGATGGAATCTCCTTTCCTGTTATTTGAACCCACTTTTCCATGTCTTAGTATCACTTGTCTGTTACTGAATATTCTTTTGCATAATACTACAAACATTTCTAGAAACAACCATTTCCACTGTAGCAGCCGAGAACAGAAAATAATATTTCAGAAAGCAAACATTTAACTTCTTAACAGGGAAGACTATATGTATGGGAATTACATAACTTGGTTCTTAACAGCTGAAAGAATCAACAACTTCATGCTAAACTGGGTTGTTGTAGCTTTTTTCGGGCTATATGGCCATGTTCAACTTCATGCTAAACATTTGCAAATGTTCTCAGAACGCAATGTTTGGAAGTCGGAATTCATGCTATTCTTGGTTGTTAGCCTGCTTTGCCATCAAGTTCACAATATTCTCTTCCCCTGCACTTTCTTAGCTTAAAACTCTCAGTTTTTGTATTTTTTTACAGATAGTTTGGGTTTTTCTCTTTTTTGCTCTAGTCTTGCTTTGGTTTGAGAAAGCTATTTTGTCTGGGCCACCAGACCTGCAATAATGTGCACTGAGATATATTTCAGATATGTGCACTGAGGTATATTTCAGCCACTTCCAGCTTAACAGAAAAACGACCAATTAAGCACAGGCTCGGCTCTCACCATGAGGGCTATACTGTGTCCAGAGAGGTAGGTCAGGAGATAGGAGGTTGCTGGCAAACATGCCCCAGCAACATTGGGGTCGCTGGAGTGTGACAGTTCATGTAAACAGCGAGCTGCATCCATCTGAAGATCTGCCAGATTGCTGGTGAAGAGGCCAATCAAGACCCGCATGCTGCCTTCCAACCTATCAAATAAAAATAGGCAATGCCATTTCTTTTTGCTTTAAGATTTCCTATTTGCTACATCGCTGAAAGGGAAAACAGAACATTGCATTCAACCCCAATATCACTGATAATCTACTTGATCCAGACAATATATGTAATTTTGATAGAAATAAAAGCTTTTTTTTCTCATGTCAGGAGCAACTTGAAAAACTGCAAGTTGTTTCTGATGTTGGAGAATTGGCTGTCTGCAAGGATGTTGCCCAGGGGATGCCTGGATGGTCTGATGTTTTACCATCCTTGTGGGAGTCTTGTCTCATGTCCCCACACGGGGAGCTGGAGCTGACAGAGGGAGCTCATCTGTGCTCTCCCCGGATTTGAATCTGCGACCTGTCAGTCTTTAGTCCTGCCAGCACAAGGGTTTAACCTATTGCGCCACCGGGGGCTCCAAGTTATTATTAAAATCATTAGATTACTCATAAAATTACTGGGGAAATCCTCTAAATTCAGTCAGCAGGACTGGTCAGAGATGGCTACCAAAAAATGTAAATTAGGTAACCTGATGAATTTCTGTTGATTTTCTTTGTGCCGCAGTCCGTGCCGAAGACGTCGCAGAGATACTGCCCGGTCTTCCGTTCCTTTCCGGATGTTTTTCAGCAACTGTGAAACCTGCCCATGAACAATACTGAATCAATGGCAAGCCTTGAATAGAAAGCAAAAATATGGAAATGACTGTCATTACAAAGTCCTGCCATAATTTCCCCATAGTATCTACCAAGTTATTATACAAACACATCATAAAGGCTTTTATATGTACAGAATTCTGTCCATTGTATCATATTCACAACAAACTTAGTCAATTGTCCATGACAGAATACAATCACATTTGTTGAGGAATTACACTTCTTTAAAGAGGCACCTGTGACTATACAGGCACTCAGAGATTAATCTCTTGTAACATTTTAACAGCATTCATTGTTGCTTAAGTATACCAGAGCTTTACCAGCATCCATCAGTAATTTTGGGCAGCATGCTAGAAATATCAGAACAGCTTTGTCAGCACTAGAAGCCTACTGAAAGATGCCCGATAAGCATTTAACTTTCCAGATTCTTTTTATTCTTTTTTGATGCCCACCAAGTTTCACATATGATCATTCAAAATAGAAATCAAGGAGGTTCATTGCCTGTGTTTCACACTATACATTGGGTGCACAGTAGAAGTTTTATCTATCCTACTTGCCTCCGTTAGTGCACCTCTAAAGAGTTTCATTCTGAAATAAGGCTAATTACCGATTTTCTCTCTTGCTTTCGATCTGGAGATGTTTCTTGTCTTTATTTATATTCTAGACTAGTGGATCTCAACCTGTGGGTCCCCAGATGTTTTGGCCTTCAACTCCCAGAGATGTAGGCCAAAAAACCTGGGGACCCACAGGTTGAGAACCACTGCTCTAGAGCACAAGGCATTTAACCCCAGTGGTAGCCAGTTCCCAAGTGATCCTGACTAATACAGACACAATCTAATTCTTTTGTCATTTATCTTACACTTTATAGGCTGTATTAGACCAGGGCTTCTTAAAACTTTTTCCACTCAGGACCCCTTTCTGCCCAAGAAATTATGATGTTACCTTGGTTATATCAAATAGGTATAAAATTCAACATTTACTGAGATCAAATCAGCATTTGCAAGGCTTGCTAAACAGGCTGGTTCCACTTTAAACGCTGCACAACAGATTGTTGTAAATGTCGAAAACAGCCACTAGGTGATGTTCAGAAACCTTTTACTGTTACCAATTTTTCAGGACACCAACATTAAGCTAAGGGGACCCTATTTCAAGCAGTATTAGACCTTTACTATAACTGGTTAATACATACTACTGAAAGTTTGTTGGATGCCAATAGACATATGCCTTTTCTCTACCAAACCAAAAATAACTGCATATCTTGAAAGGCATCTGTACACAGAAAACCTTTCTGAAGTTTATTCTGATGCTTACCATAGTGTGAATAACTAGGGACAACCCTGTCAGGAAGAAACATTTATAAGGCACTACTGTCACCCACTCTGTGACCAATCTAGATTTAGCAGCACACCCATGCTGTAATTCTTATCCTTTAAGACAGTGGTTCCCAACCTGTGTTCCGTGGACCACTAGTGGTCTGCAAGAACAAAAATATGGTTTGTGGCCTCACCATTACTACACCGTTGCCTCAAAACCACATGGCAACAACAGAGACTGGTCTTGTGAAACCTTTATAATGTCGAGGCAAAGGGGATGTCGGGAGGGGAGAAGCTGACTACCCATGAAAGGTTACTGCTACCACATCAGCTCTAGATTATTAAATATGGTTTCCTGTGGGTGAGCAGATTGCAACTACTGGATGGCATATGTTTTGTATCAGAAACTAGAGGTGATATTGGAAGCACTTACATTGGCTTCCAACTGATTACCATAGTCTGTATAAGATGCTAGTTCTGACCTTTAAAATTCTTTACAGCCAGGGTCCATCGTACCTTAGGTACCGTCTCTCTTTCTCCCAGCATCGGAGGTCGCAACGACCAGCCCAACACAACTTACTCTATATACCGGGTCCTAGAGAAGTGCACTTGGAAAGTACCAGACGCAGGGCTTTTTCTATTTCTGCCCCTGCCTTATGGAATTCCTTGCCTCCCTATATGAGAGCCATGCATGACTTAGGGCCTTTTACTCTAGCCTGGCTTTTCACTAGAGCATTTGATCTATGTTAATCATTAATTTCTGTATGTTTGTATTTTTATCTTTTACAATTTAGCTTGCAAATCGCCTAGAGCATCTCAGATGGAGGGTGATTAATAAGTAATTAAATATGATGATGATGATGGTCTATCCAATGCAATTTTCTGAATCAGCACCCCAAATAATAACCAAATCCAATTTAAAGTTGACCAAAAACTGATTCATAACCCTCCTGGTACTAATGTTAGAAAGATCCCTGGTCAAGTGGTCCCTAGTCAAAAAAGATTGGGAACCACTGCTTTAGGACAAGTTCTTAGTTGTTGATAAAGGAGATACAGATAGATTGTTGAGTTAAATGTTGTTGTATTTCAGGATACTATATTCCAGATGCAGGACAACCAGTGCTTTAAAAACATGTGTTTAGAATTTTTTAATCAAGTACAATTTTTGCTTAATTAAAAAGATTAATATTAATTGGAATATAAGAATATTAGCCTTAACATTAATTGGTTTGCATATGAAACAAAATCAGGCACTGTTTAGAAGGACATTTCTTAATTATTACTTACACATAGACTCAGACACCAAAAGCTGATGCAACTTCCCCCTCCCTCTTAATTTAATTTTCACTGGAGTTGTAAAGGTATTATTTCAAAGGAAAAAAGTAGGAGAAAAGAAGCAAGAGAAATAGAAGTATGCAGATATACACATAAGCTGGGCATATAAATTAAAATAAGATTACCACATTTCCAAAAATACATCTTACATAGTAGCTAAAACAATATTATCTGACAACTGAATGATATGATGGTGATTGTTTATCTTCCCAGTCTTGGAGTATTAAGTATTATAACAACTAAAGTATACAGGATCCAACCAGATCGACTATCAGATGCATGTATTTATTTACAAAAATATTTATACTGTAATATATCCAGCACAAAGGTTGTGACCACTAAATATGCTCACATCACATGCCATGATGATATGTCAATATTGTACGCTACTTATCAGTTACCCACACGTGTGCTGTGGTAACAGGTGGAATTGTATCCCTACCTCTTCCTCAGTGAAAGGAGCTGCTGTCTCAGTGTCACTTCCAATTCGCCCATCATCATTCAAGGGGTCTTCATGTAACAGACGCTTACTGATCAACTGCTGCAACCTCCGTTCATTCCTCAGAACTGCAATGAAAACGCATTCTGCTATCAGAATCATCTATTATCAGAGTATGGTGGAAGGCAGAGAAGTGAGAGGCATTATTTAGTGCAACTATTAGTTATCTAAAGCCACAATTGCCAAGGAAAAATATTATGACTGTCTGAGTAGAGAGGACATCCCCTTTTTAAATAAATCTCAAACATGGCACCTAAATGTTGTGGGCATTTAACATCTGAAATCCCCAAGCCATAGGGCCAATAGTCAAGAATTCTGGGATGGGTAGTTCAACAACATTTGAGCATGTAGGTCTAGGAGTCACTGGACTAAGTGCTATGCAATGAGGGCAAAAATGAGACTTTGTTTGACTTTAATGAATACATGGCCAAATAATACTATAGTCTATGAGTAATCAGAGTGAAGAATGCTTAGTCACTGAAATGAAATTTGCTTTAGCCTCATTAACAAAATCAATTAATCTATACCTGCCGACTCGAATTATGGTGATCCAATGAATGAGAGACCTTCAAGTCACCCTACAGCAACAGCTCTGCTTAGGTCTTGCAGAAGTAGGGCCATGGCTTCTTTGACTGGATCTATCTAAAATAGTCTTTCAGTTTTCCTACTGGCTTTTAACTTACCAAGCCTCATTGTCTTTCCTAGTAAGTTATATTTTTTGATAATATGTCCAAAGGATAACACCCTCAGTTTAGTCATCTTGGCTTCTACAGAAATTTCAAGCTTAAACTGCCTTAAGACCCATTTATTTGTGTATTTACAATTCCTAGTATCTGTAGAAGTTATATAGCACTACAATTCAAATTATTTTCTTCCTATCCGTTTTCTTCACTACTCAGCTTTCATAACCATAAACAGAAACTGAAAATACAATAGCATGGGCAATCCTAACTTTAACATTCAATACCTTTACATATTTCCATAAAGAAATGCCAACATATATTAGCTGCAACTAATGAGCAAGAAATGTGTTTGAGTTTATTTGCACAAGATGTTGTGAGCAAATAGTCTTCCTCATTTATCAAATCACAAACCATTAGAGATTTATGATTTATGATATAAAAATATTTTAAAATTTTGGACCTGTTTAGAGTAGCACTAGGTTTTCTGAAGTAAACAAAAATACCTTCTTGAATTAAAATACATGCATTGCAACATTTCTTTATTGAAATAAAGAACGTAAGCACTTCAGAGATCATCGCCCCATTTTAGTGAAAACTAAAAAAGTCACCTAGATACTTTTATTGTCAAAGCCCTTCTGCCCCTTCACTTGATGCCATATTGCAAAGCTACAGCTCCTTACACGTGCTCAACATTGCACAGCCTTCTCAGAACAATGAAATGCAATTAACAAAAAACTGCAATGAAAACTCTTAGTCTGACACGGATGAAAGAATTTCCATTTTCACTCAGCATCTGTTAAGGTTATTTCTTTTAACAAAAAAACTTAAGACAATAGAGCACAGCATTTAATAATAACAATATATAGAACAATTTTTCTTTACCACTTCCCATATCTAATGATATTCAAAACGATATTGTATCCTTCGCGTGATTAATTTCAGCAGTCATGGAGCTGAATGGCTTTCTAGTGAACTTGTAATCATACTACTCTTTAAAGCAGTTGTTTCAACCTGTGGGTCCTCAGATGTTTTCGCCTTCAATTCCCAGAAATCCTAACAGCTGGTAAACTGGCTGGGATTTCTGGGAGTTGTAGGCCAAAACACCTGGGGACCCACAGGTTGAGAATCACTGTGTTAAAAAGTAGGTATAGTGTGCATCCCACTTTAAATCCTGTGGCTGCCTCTTGCAGAATACTGGGATTTGTAGTTTAGGGAGGGGGACTTTAAAATTCTTAGCCAGAGAGGTCCTGGACCTCACTAAACATGCAACTGAAGCTGCAGTGAATTTCTCCAGCACTTCAGCTGGTAGCCATTTCTCTCCTAAATGATTGAGAGAGAAGTAACGATCACAAACAAAATCTTTTTTATAGATAAAGGATGCATCTACACCAGAAATGGCCAAACTTAGGCCTTCTAGGTGTTTTGGACTTAAACTCCCACAATTCCTAACAGTTGGTAGGTTGTTAGGGATTGCGGGAGTTGAAGTCCAAAACTCCTGGAGGGCTGAAGTTTGCTTATGCCTGATCTACACTGTAGGTTTAATGTAGTTTGACTGTTATGGCTCAATGCTCTGGAAATCTGTGAGATGAAGTTTGTTGAGCCACCAGCACTTTGGCAGAAAATACTGAAGACCTTGTCAAACTACAGTTCCCATCATTTCATAGCATTGAACTATGGCAGTTAAAATGAGGTCAAATTACATTAATTCTGCAGTCTACATGAAAATTTTATTGCTTTATATTTTGGAACTTGAGATTGCATGTATGCCTCTGAGACTTCTTAATAACTCTTCACTGAAGTCCAGGATGTTAATTATATGATCATGTGGGGTGTGACAACCCCAACTATTCTCTCTCCCCATTTTTTATCTTTATCTTTTTCAGGATTATGCACAAATGGGAAATAGCATTTTTGAAGAGGGAGAGGCCCGGGTTCCTCAGACACTTTCCTGCCTCGTACGTATTTGTATAGTTTGCTCTGTGATCATGATTTTGAAATTACACAGTTTATCTTTTTTTGGTATAAAACAGACAAATGTGGGGTCAAAAGAGGACTTGTGTGGCTTTTCACCGGATCCCACGCTCTAGTTTGGATTTCTGATTTTTAAGTAGCATGTCCAAGTTTGTGTTTTCTGCTGCAAATATGTTTTGTTGGAAGTTGGGACAGGAAAGGGTGGATTTTAAGCAGTAATTTGGCAATCCTATTTGGGTCAGCTGTCCTCTCTTCCTTTTGCCTCAATCCTTTCCTTCTGAAGCTTGTTTTCTCACAGCTGACTGAAGTGTTGGAAATGCAACTCCACAGAGGGAAACTTCACACAAACCTGATTCCCGCTCCCTCCTCCAGGCCCGCAGCTCCTCAACACTGCAGCCGTGTGTTCGGTAACGATTTCTCCTCCAGTTCCCTATTGCAGGGGAGGTGATAGTTTTTGCTGCTCCAGAATCTGGGACTGACCCAAGAGAATGCATTGCTAAGGCACCAAGGCTGTGTCGCCCTGATAGAGTTCGCAAAGTGAAAGCAAAACATAGACCGTTCTAAATGGGGCAGAACCGCTTCTGTGGGCAGCCAAGCAGCCAGAATTGTCATCTGCAATAAGTCTACATGGGATTGGTGCTAAGCCTTTCTCTTCAAATACAGCTCCTAGAATCTGCAAGTCTCTTGAGTCGTCAGTCTCAGCAAGAAGAACATTCTGCCTTTTAGTAGTTCTGGGGAGACAGAAAAATGGAGTCATTGTGACAAGATGTACCACCAGTTCAACATCACTTGGCCCAGTAGTTCAGGACCTCTTCCCACCCACAAAGTGCAATGGTCACATATATCCTTCAAATAAAAGATTGAGGGCTCACCAACATCCTCTCTCTTTGCTCTTATATCCCTCCTCTATTCCAGAGTTTGAAAAGGAAGCTGCAGCAGCTTTTCTTTGTCTTTCTTTTAGAATTAGAATAGCATTCATTGTGCTACTGCACAACAAAATTACATGCCTCCCGCCCCCCACACACCACAAAACAACACATCCATTCCTATACCCTCCAACCACAACTGCACAGCTCCCAACGCCACATCAAAGAGTTCAACATAGTTACAGCTCTAGCATAAATGCTATCAGTCTGCTTGTCCTTGCCATTGTCACCCTGTACCATCAGCCAGATGGTAATAATAATAATTAAAAAGGCATATGCTGGGTGACATGGATCCCCAAGAATTCTCTGAGTTTTCTTTTTAAAAGGTAATGGTTGTCCCCTGACATTAAGTCCAGCCGTGTTCAACTCTGGGGTTGGTACTCATCTCCATTTCCAAGCTGAAGAGCCAGCGGTGTCCATAGACACCTCCAAGGTCATGTGGCCAGAATGACTGCATGGAGCGCTGTTACCTTCCCGCTGAAGCGGTACCTATTGATCTACTCACATTGGCATGTTTTTGAACTGCTAGGCTGGCAGAAGCTGGGGCTGACAGCAGAAGCTCACGCCGCTCCCCAGATTCGAACCTGTGACCTTTGAGTCAACAAGTTTAGCAGCTCAGCAGTGCAGCAGGAATTATAGAGTTCTTCCAAAGAGGGGAGAGGGCAACCAATGATTCCCTGTGCACAAGTTGTGACCCTTTGCAGCACCTTCCTATCAGCCACTGTGCAATTACCAAACCATGTGCAGATGCAGTAGGCTAGGACATTCTCTACAGCACAGCAGTAGAAAGTCACCAGCAGTTTTTCATTCAGTTGATGCTCAGTAAAAGTAAGTAAAACTTTATTGCTATTCCTCCCCATCTCCCCATGAGGACTCATGGCAGTTCACAACAAAAAAAGGTGGAGTTGGCAGAATGGGTTAAACCCTTGTGCTGGCAGGACTGCTGACTGAGAGGTTAGCAGTTAGAATCTGGGGAGAGCGGGTTGAGCTCCCTCTGTCAGCTCCAGCTCCCCCTGCAGGGACATGAGAGAAGCCTCCCACAAGGATGGTAAAACATCCGGGCATCCCTTAGACAATGTCCTTGCAGACAGCGAATTCTCTCACACCAGAAGCGACTTGCAGTTTCTCAAGTCGATCCTGTATAATACAACAATAGACTAAAACAATTCAAAATAAACCTAACATTGTCCCTTAGGAGTCTCGGGTAGGCCCTCCTCACCAATGCTGCTGTATGGGTGTCCCAGGTCAGATCCTTGGTAAAAGTATGATAGCTGGGTCTGGAAGCTCCGAGTGTTATGGAGATGCTGCAAAGGCAACTGTGAATAAGGGAAGAGAGGCGGCGGAGTGAGAGTGGGGAGAGTGAATGAAGGATAGAAAGGAGGGGACGCTTAGGGTAAGGGTTAGGACAAGGTTTAGGGTTTGGGTTAGGGTAAGGGGGTACGGTTTAGGGTTAGATTTAGGGTTTGGGTTAGTGTAAGGATTTGGGTAAGGGCTTAAGCTTACGGTATGGTTCAGGGTTAGGGTAAGAGTTAGTTAGGGTAAGGGTTTCACCATTTAAGAACTCTTACATTCCTTCTATATTATCTGTCTCTGGCCTGGCTTACATTAGCCAAGTCTCTCTTGCGCAAACAGCGCTCCCGAAGAAGCAATGCAGCATTTCTGTAATGCTTGGAGCTTCCGGACCCAGCTATCATACTATTACCAGATCCTCCTTCACAGTGACACCCAGGAACTTAAAACTGGCTACTCGGTCCCCATTTACGACCAAGGGCTGGATTTCTGGTCTGTTCTTCCTACAGTCCACAATTCATTCCTTCGTCTTGTTGATATTAAGAACCAGATTATTGTCCCTGCACCCCAAGAGCAGCCAATTCACCCCATCTTGATAGGCAGATTCACAACTTAAATTTCAGAAAAAGATTGGGTGTCTTGCAAAGATGGAAGGGTCTTGCTGGACTGTAGAAAACACAGTTTGAACTACTTTTCACTACCATGGCTCAAGGCTATGGGGATTTGGGGAGTTGTAGTTTTACAAGGCCTTTACAGCAGTGGTTCTCAACTTGTGGGTCCCCAGATGTTTTAGCCCTCAACTCCCAGTAATCCTAACAGCTGGTAAACTGGCAGGGATTTCTGGGAGTTGTAGGCCAAAATACCTGGGGACTCACAGGTTGAGAACCACTGCTTTACAGCCTTCTCTGCCCAATGGTGCAGGTGCCTCACCAACAAGGCCTAGGACTCCGTAGCATTGAGCCATGGCAGTTAAAAAAGTGTTGTCAACCTGCATCAATTCCACCGTGCAGACGCACCCAACCCTTGCCAGCACAGCCATGGCTGAGGGATGATGGAAGGCAAGAAAAGGAAACAAAGCGCACGTGGGGGGAAAGGAAATCCCGGAAGCAAAGGTCCCCTAGGCCCCTCAGCCAGGCAGCTGTAATGCTCAGGCTAGATTCGAAGTTCCTCTCTTCCACACTACCTTTTGTTTCTTCAGGGTTGCCCTAAAACTCCGTGACTACAGTCAGAGGGACTCTGAACATGGCCTTCCGGGGAGAGACCCGCCAAAGAGTGAGGCGACTCTTCCCTCGCGTGAGTCTATGGTTCCTTTCCTAGGACGCCTTCTTCTTCTGCGCAGGCGCACTGAGCAGGCAAGGTCGGCTTCTGCCAAAGAGAAAAGGGGAGGAGACTGAGCCGCCTCGCTCCCCGCCCTTCCTCTGACGTCTTCGGTATCCTAGCAACCACGCAGCGTTCCCTTTGCCTCAGCCAAAGGGTGCCTTAGTTTACCCTCTAGAATTCATGCACTTTTGACACCTCTTTAGCTGCCATGGCTCAATGCTATGGAATGCTGGAAGCTGTAGTTTTCCAAGGCCTTCTCTACCAAGGATTGCTGGGGCCTCAGCAAAGTACAACCCCCAGGATTCCATGGGGTTTTCTTATGCAGGGAATCCTCAGAAGTGGCTCTGCCAGTTCCTTAGGAATTTAGCCCACAGCACCATATTTCCAACAAGATCCTTCAAACTGTCCTATATACCTTGTCTCAGCCAGTCATTAAAATGGGGACTGCATCCAAGAGACCGAGACAACTAGGAACCTTTGGAAGGGCAGTGATGAAACTAGATAGGATTGTGATGTGGTGCAGAAAGATCACTGCATTCCCAAATCAAGAATTTCCCTTGCCCCATGGCTATGAATAGTTGGGAAAGCTCAACAGTGAAGAAAGCGAGTAAGAAGAGAATAAACTTGTTTGAAATGCACCGGAAGAGAGTTCTATGACTACTATGGATGGTAGAAGGGCAAATAAATGGCTCCCAGAGCAAATCAGGCCTGAGATGTCCCTGGAAGGTGAAGAAACTTTGGACATATGAGAAGCTGTTCTGGTACGGCTGTACCAGGAGCTCCAACTTCCTTTTCTTTCTTTGAGCGTTTGCATGTATTCCAAAGTTCCATGCATTTTGCAATAAGGTGGCTTCCCTTGGTTTGCAATTATAGGGCCAATGACCCATCAATCATTGTTTTTAGTTCCGCCCCTTTTTCTGGGTTAAGGAGGGAAAAAGGGGACCTCTAGTTCAGTTCACACAGAGAAGCCTTTCGTACAGAACGTGAATCAGTTCCACCTGTAGAAAGCTTCGTCTTTTACAGCTTTGCTGGAGGGATCCAGTCCCACAGCTCTACAGAGAACTACAGCTTTTGCTGGGGGGAATTCAGTCCCACAGCTCTACAGAGAAACATAGCTTTTGCTGGGGAGATCCAGTCCCACAGCTTTACAGCCAGCCTTCGCTGGGAATTGAAGACCTTCTTTCCTCTTGGAAATCTACAAAAGGACTCTGTTCGGTAAGGACCACTTACGGCAGCCATAACACAATTTGGACTGGGTGTAGGGGCCCACGCCAACAGAGCCTAAGACAGATTGCCCAGGTAGAGGTCAAGGATTTCCCTGATAGTGAAGAAACAGTTCATGAAGATAGTTGCCTGTCCCTTGTGGACAAGATTAAGAAAGCCACCAGTTGATTCAAAGCCTTGAAGTATTTGTTTGATTTATTGAAGACCTAAGCACTAATAAAGAACTTTGTTAAACTTTCCAAGTATCTAAAGACTTTGCTTAGTAAAATCTATAGGGCCTCTAATCCAAGGCACCCCTGGTGTCCCGCTGGGCATATAGAACACGTCCTGTCTACAGACCTTTTCACAGGCCCAGCGCATGACAGCACAGAAGCATTAGGAAGGTTAAGAACCACTGGTCTATAATATTCAATGGGTATTGGTGAAATTGTTTAGATGTTGCTTTTACAAGTCAACCTTAAACAGATGCAAAGAATTCTAACTTCTCCAATCATAGACTCCACCACTGATCTTGCTGTGTCCAAGATGTCCTGAATTTTTTTCACAAATTCTGTGTGCATCTCCCTGGCTTTTTCTAAGAGACTGTTGATATGTTGCAGGCTACAGAAAATGTCCATATCAACTCTTTGTAATGTTTTGATAAGATGAAAGGATGATGACATAAGCTTTCTTAGGTTGTGTATGGTTACTACAAATTCAGCATTCAAAACAGTTAAAAGGTGTCCAGCTTGGGAAGAAGTCTCGCTGTTGTATAGAGGACTCACTTTTAGCTTTCAATTGTTCTCACCACCACACTGTGCAGTTCAACGAAACATAAAATTGCATGTCACTCAACCCAACGGCTTTCACAAAGTGGCAACAGGTTGTTGCTCTTTTATATTTTTCTTCAACAGTTTCAGTCTGATGGATGATGCTCTGAAGAAATTACAAGCAGATGATATAGTTCCTTGGCGGTTTCTGACAGGTGGAATGTTGCAAGTCTTTGCTAAGGCTAGATTTAGTAAGTGAGCACTGCAGTGGATGGAGACAACCATTGGATACTTCTGCAATATAATTGCCTGTGCTCCACTAATATGACCACACATATTAGCAACTCTATCATAACTCTGTCCACACAAGTATTATAAGTTCAGCCCAATTTTTCCAGTGTTTTCAAAATAATACCTGCAAGTCCTCCCTGTCATATCACTTATCTTCTCAAAGCCTAAAAATCTTCTCTTCTTCCTGCAGCTTCAACATCAACATACCTTGCCGAGAGCAATAATTGTTCTGCGGTACTCACATCCAAAGTTTTGCTGCCTTTCCCAGACCTAGAAAGCACTCCAGTGCAACCCTGTGCAGTGGAGAGTTATACTCTGCCAGTTAATATGTTGGATCTCAGCTGATTGGGCATGTATTTTCATTGTGAAGTCTGCTGTTTGTAATGGTCTGTTGCGTATGTAGCTCTTCTAAGAGGCAAGAGGGGGAGTCAACAACCCATTGTGGTTTGCAGTGATGGCTGCAATCTCTTTTTCAAGACAATTACAAGTCATCTAATTAACACCAGAAGATTGGCAGAAGCGAAAGAAGATATCCATGACATCATCACAGTGGAGATGGAAAAACAACAGTTTATATTTGTGTTATGTTGAGACATGCATAAAGAAATAATGTACATTTTCTCCTTTGTTTTGAAAATAATAACATGCTGTCAATGCTGGGAAAGGGCATTGCTTTGTTTGGATGAATGCATCTTTTAAGCAAACATAAGAAGGTGGGAACCGATTTACATAATCACTATTTGAGTAACATTAATCCTGTCTGATGTTGATATATGACAGTAAGACAGGAAGGCAAACTCTGTGTTTGCTTTGTATGTGGACGCTAACTGCAAACTATCTAGTACACTAGAAAACTGAATAAATCGTGTAAAGCTTTATATCAGTTTCATTTTTATCCTTTTACTATGCTTTAATGTTTTCTTTAACTTAGCCTTTTGATATAATTGTGTTTTTTAAACCTTTGTATCAAATAGATTTGTGCTGTACTTTGTTAAAATTTGTTCTGTGCCATGTTGTGTCCTCTACTAGGAGAGAGGCAGTATGCAAATACACAAACACACACACACACACACACACACAGACAGACAGAGTACTGCATCCCACACACACACACACCCCACCCCAATCATAGGCATTTTGTGGTCATGGTTTTGTATGCCCTTCATTTTTCACTTCCTATGCCTATGATCACTTCTCATTTAAAGTCTCGAAAAATATGCAATAGTCAAATCTAATTAAACTCTTTTCTCTCCCAAATCTAATAAAACTAGTTTTAGAGCAGACACACAAACATCAGACAGTACCAGGGTAGCTGAAGACATTTTGCTTCATATGATGGGAAAGTAAAATCCTGCCCCCAAGTCACAGTACACATTCATTCATTTATCAATCAATTCATTTTCCCCCAACATGGGAGCTTACAGTATTCTGCCTCTAAGTGTAGTGGACTCTATCTCTCTGGAGATTTTAAATAGAGAGTGGATGGTCATCTGTTATTTATTTATTGTGTCAGAAGCAAGTTGAGGGTACAGTTATAGTATTTAAAAACACAAAACAATGTTAAAAACTTGGCATTATACTAAATATCCTTTGACCAGAAGCTGGCCATTTGGAGTGCCTCTGGTGTTGTTGTAAGAAGATCCTCCATTGTGCCTGTGTTCTGTGGTTTGCTCTTCTCCACACTCACATGTGTGTAGCCCCATTTTGTAGCACCATTTCTGAAGACTGTTTCTGCATCTTCCCAGTCTGTTCAGGACCTTCCAAGTTGCCCATTCTTCTGTGTGCCCAGGGGACTGTGTGCCCATCTGTTGGGACTGCTTTTATTGTGTCTTTGGTGGGGCGTTGGACTTGATGGCCCTTGTGGCCTCTTCCAACTCTTTGACTCTATGTTCTTTTGAGAGCTTTACTCTATCCCAGTCTAAAACCTCCAAATACCTTTGGTATTCCTCCTCACCACTTAGACTGATTAGACAGCCTGTGTTGTGCCTGTAAAGACAGGTCTCACATTTCCTAAAAGAACAAGTACTTATTGAATTTTGTATTACTGAATTTTGCCACGGTGCTGCAGTCCCCAGCAAGTTCAGGAGTGGACTTGTGACTATTGCCATAAAAGGAATGAAGAGGAATTATTCTTTAAGAGCAAGGCACTCAGGCCAGACATACATTCCAAGCACAATGGGACTTCTGGAAACATCAGGAAGCACAATTGTGCTTGAAAACAGAATGTACACTCCATTTTTATCTTAAAGGGAAATGCAGAAGAAAGTGGGACACTGCTTCAGGACTCTATTGAATTTCAGTGACAGATTAGAGAACTGGCATGTGAATCCCAGTCTATTCTCAGGATAGGTGGCTTATTTTGACCTTTTTGACCCAATTTTGTAAAGACATTTGGACATTCAGATGCCCAGGTAATTTGATAGCTACTTTAAATTATCTTTCATTTATAAGTGTTTGTGCATAAAAGGAGTGGCTCTGAATGCACATAGAAGTCTTTTCTCCATGTGCTCTGAATGCACATAGAAGTCTTTTCTCCATGAGGAATTATATGGTCCCAATTATGGATAGAGCATTCATACGTAATGGAGGGGAAAGCTCCCTCGTTTTGCTGGAGTTTGGATACATCAGAGTATTGTTCCACTCCAAGAAGTGTAATTGTATTAAAAGGTCCACTCTTCTGTAATGCAATTATTTTCCATTTCTATGGCAACTGGGGGTTCCCCAGAATGCAATACTTTATATTTCACTTTCTGATTAACTTTATGAAGGACCACTGGACCTGTAATTTTTGTGCTAACTAAAAGCCAGCCTGAAGATAGGAATTCACACGTGTCTGTTTTTTCTGCACAGCAGTGGCTATAAGGCCAACACATTCCCAATTGTACCTAAAAGCAAATCTGACTTTTAGACAGCAGTTGCTAGATAAAATTAGTGTGGGGGTCGGGAGGGGGAAATGTTGTGGTTAGGATGATTGCGACACAAATCACCGCCTCCAGCCTGTGCCTGGAAAAGTCATTTATGCTGAGCCAGGCATGTAGTCGAGGGGGGGGGGGGGGTTGGGAGGGGTTTCACCTTCGAGGTGGGGGGGGGACGAGACGGAGGACGCAGCAGGAAGGGCCTCAGGAGCTCCTAGAAAGCCGGCCCCCCCCCGAAATCTCAGCATGGTGGTTCCGAAAGGCTTACTGGTGCATTATTTAAACACACACATTATGTGTGTTAATACCATATCATAATCTTATCAATTGACATAGTCGATAGCCTGTAATGCTATCCCATGGACATCGCAGTGGTGGTATGGGAGCCTTGACGGAATACTAGTGGGGTATGGATACAAATTTGCGAGGGTACAATACCCGCGGGGGCGTTCTTTCACTTCAGACGACAATACACACACCCAGCGGGTAGAGAGTCCCCCCCCCGAAACTCAGCCCCCCCAAAACCCCCTAAAAAAAATCCCCCCCCCCCCCCCCCGAAACGAAATCCTGGCTACGGGCCTGTGCTGAGCACAATGTTTCACATTCCAAGAAGAGGAAGAGATCACCAAAATAAAGAGAATGGGTTTTTTGTTATTCAAAGGGAGAAATTGCATTCCATTCTTACATAACAGTATTTCAAACATATCCTTCAACTGGGAAACTCCCTAAAGGGGTAATGAAAGAAGAAGTAAAGAGGGACAATCCACTACTTCCTTTCATGGTTTCTGATCCTGATTAAATGAACTATAAGCAGAACTGAAAGAGCTGGAAGTAGCATCTGCTATTCTGTTTCCCTCCCAGAAAGATGGGACTCTACTGGGAGATAATGGATGGCATGTGAAAAGAATAAAAGCTACCACTTGTAACAGACTTGGAAACAGAAGAAATCAAGCCCTATCTGTGTCAAATCCAGAGCATTTGCTGGTAAGTGTCCCTGAATTTCAGTTGTTTTCCTGCCTTGCATCACAGCTACCCAGCACAAGGGAAGTGGCATTCTGCGTCCTTTTGCACAGAATCCAGTTTCCCACGGTGTTAAGTGACAGCATATTAATAAAACTCTGCATGGCAGTGCAGCATAAATTTGGCATAGCAAATTTGCAGCACTTTTAATCTGCAATATGTGACTGGGATTTTACAGGCTTTGCCATGATACTATTATTCAATTCTTTGTGCACTCTTCAAAGCTTTTACAGTTCTACACAGATGTATGGAAACAATTGAAATCTCAAGAGATAGTTATGACAGGAGTAATGCTGCAAATAATAAAACTCCCACGTTCGAAGACTGCAAATATTTCATGTTCTAAGAGTCTCAAGTGGAAAGTTACTTTATGTCTGTGTGTAATGTTACATCTGAGAATGAGGCAGGTGACTTTGTGATAAAAGCTTAGTCTGGAAGCACTTCTGTGTTGTATCAGGTTACTTAAGGAAGAGGGGCAAAACTGTGTCTCTTCATTGCACTCGTTGATGAAGCCCGAAGAAAAGTGTGGAGATCATCGCCCTGTGAAATGGTCTTTCCTTAGCTACAGTGTTCCACACCATTTACAATTGTCTCCCAGCCACTTCAAAGTCTAGACAATGTTGCCTTCCACTGATAATTCTACATCTGATGAAGTAGACCTAAATTTACAAAAAGTTATGCTACCAGCTTATTTCATTTAATCTCAAAGGTGCTACAAGATCCCTTTCTAGGTAATATTCCTAATGTATTGTCGAAGGCTTTCATGGCCGGAATCACTGGGTTGTTGTAGGTTTTTCCGGGCTATATGGCCATGTTCTAGAGGCATTTTCTCCTGACGTTTTGCCTGCATCTATGGCAAGCATCCTCACTTCCTCTGAGGATGCTTGTCATAGATGCAGGTGAAACATCAGGAGAAAATGCCGCTAGAACATGGCCATATAGCCCGGAAAAACCTACAACAACCCAATATTCCTAATTTTCCTGCTGCTGTTTCTGCCCACTAAAAAAAATCTATCAACGAGGAAGGAGAGACAGAAAAGCAAGCACACAACGCTTCTGTCTGGAAACATATTGAGAAGCATGTGAACTCTTACTGCCAATTTGCAAGAATATACATGTCCTTACTTTGTTAGAGGGAGGTACCTGAATGGGGCCTGGTACTATGCATGGAATATGGCACTTCAGAATCAAGATAAGAATCCTGAAATCTCACCCTGTAATGAATCATACCAGGGTGGAGTTGTAGCTACTATCCTCTCATTCTCCCGTTTTTACAGTAAACATCCACTTTACTTCTTTTGCACACACTCTAGTCACACCACTCTTCCACATGCATCCAACTACTCATTGCTCCATTCATTCTGTTCCTTTCCTTCCACTGTCAATTTGGCTCTTTCTTTCTGTCCCCCGATCTCTTCTTCTCCTTGTACCTATGCTTCAGTTACCTCATTCTCTCCAATTAGCTCTTCTCTCTGCTTCACTCTAATACTGTAGTTCCCAACCTGTGGGCCACAAGACCTAAAAAAAAAAGTAAGCAGCTCTAGATTATTAAATATGGTTTTCTGTGGGCTAGCAGTTGGCGACTACTGGATGGCATATGTTCTGTGTCAGAAACTAGAGCTGATGTGGTTGATCCAATGCAATTTTATGAATCAGCACCCCAAATAACCAAACCTAATCTAAAGTTGACCAAAAAAGGATTCATAACCCTTTTGGTACTAATGTTGGAGAGTGGTTCCGGATCAAAGTGGTCAAGTGATCCCTGGTCAGAGTGGTACCTGGTCAAAAAAAGATTGGGAACCACTGCTGTAATAACATCCCATATTTTGTGCCCATGACACTGCTGTGTCTAGAAGTGTGTGTGATTCTTTTTATAGACAAGCAGCCTTTAATTTGTCTCCACTTCAGATAAGGGACTCCTAATTCTCCAGATCTAGCACATAGTTGTTGTAGCTCGCAATTCACTTCAATTTCCTTTTTCTTTGCTCTATTTAATCAAAACGTAAAACCCTGCCCCTAATTTGTAACAAAAAATGGCAAGCATATACATTTTGGTCTGTATTCACCAAAATGTATATGCTTGCCATATATACATACTTACCCAAAACTTAAGAAAGTAGGTAATAATAATAATATTATAATAATAAACTTTATTTATACCCTGCCACCATCTCCCCAAGGGACTCAGGGTGGCTTACATGAGGCCAAGCCCAACAATACAATACAACAATATACAACAGAACACAGCAAAAATAAAATAAAATAAAATACAAACCCATTTTAAATTATTTATTTATTTATTTGCTGCATTTATTAACTGCCGCTCTCAGCCCTAGGGCGACTCGCGGCGGTGTACAACATATCAAAACAATTTACAATCAACATATCGCTAATACACACTAAAATCCACATATCACTAATACACACTAATAAATTACACTAAATAATCCGCTTCGTCTTATCGTAGAATCATAGCCAATCTCATAATCCATATACCGTTCCAGATGTCATTACCAATTAATGTAGCTCTCAATTAAATGCCTCCTCAAATAGCCATGTCTTTAGGCCCTTACGGAAAGACATAAGGGAGGGCGCCTGTCTGATGTCAACAGGGAGGGCGTTCCACAGCCGGGGGGCCACCACCGAGAAGGCCCTCTCTCTCGTCCCCGCCAAGCGTGCCTGAGAGGCAGGCGGGATCGAGAGAAGGGCCTCCCCAGACGATCTCAAGGCCCTCGTGGGCTCATAGGCCGAGATGCGGTCCGAAAGGTATTTTGGGCCGGAACCGTTTAGGGCTTTGTAGGATAACACCAGCACCTTAAATTGGGCCCGGTAGCAGATCGGCAGCCAGTGGAGCTGGAACAACAAGGGCATTGTGTGCTCCCTGCGTCCCGCTCCTGTTAGTAACATGGCTGCCGCGCGCTGGACTAGCTGAAGCTTCCGGGCCGTCTTCAAGGGCAGCCCCACGTAGAGAGCGTTGCAGTAGTCAAGGCGGGATGTGACCAGAGCGTGTACCACCGTGGCCAAGTCAGACTTCCCAAGGTACGGGCGCAGCTGGCGCACGAGCCTAAGCTGTGCGAATGCTCCCCTGGTCACCGCTGAAACCTGGGGATCCAGGCTCAGAGATCCAGGGTCACACCCAAGCTGCGAACCTGCGCCTTCAAGGGGAGTGTGACCCCATCCAGCACAGGCTGTAACCCTATACCCTGTTCGGCCTTGCGACTGACCAGGAGTACCTCTGTCTTGTCTGGATTTAATTTCAGTTTGTTCGCCCTCATCCAGACCATTACAGCGGCCAGGCACTGGTTCAGGACCTCGACAGCCTCCTTAGTAGCAGGTGGAAAGGAGTGACAGAGTTGGACATCATCTGCGTACAGATGACACCGCACCCCGAAACTCCGGATGATCTCACCCAGCGGCTTCATGTAGATATTAAACAGCATGGGGGACAGTATAGAGCCCTGTGGAACCCCACAGGTCAAAGGCTGTGGTGTTGAACAGGAGTCCCCCAATAACACCTTCTGGGTACGACCCTCCAGAAATGACTGGAGCCACTGCAGAGCAGTGCCCCCAAGACCCATTTCCGCAAGGCGCCCCAGAAGGATACCGTGGTCGACGGTATCGAAGGCCGCTGAGAGGTCCAGGAGCACCAACAGGGACACACTCCCCCTGTCTAGCTCCCGGCGCAGATCATCCACTAAGGCGACCAAGACCGTCTCAGTTCCATGTCCCGGTCTGAAACCAGACTGTGCCGAATCCAGATAATCCGTGTCTCTCAAGAATACCTGGAGTTGTGAGGCCACCACGCTTTCCATGACTTTGCCCAAAAAGGGGAGATTGGAAACAGTCCGAAAGTTGTCAAATTTAGTGGGGTCCAATGATGGTTTCTTCAACAGCGGTTTTATAATAGCTTGTTTTAAGCTCGCTGGAATCTTGCCTTCCCGAAGGGAGGCATTAACCACCACCGTTACCCACTCAGCCAATCCCCCTCTGGCCTCCTTCAGAAGCCAGGATGGGCAGGGGTCTAGGATGGACGTGGTGGGCCTCATTCCTCCAAGTATCTTGTCCACATCCTTGGGCTTCACAAACTGAAAAGAATCCATCAAAATAGGACAAGCAGGTGCTCGTGTCACATCCTCAGAGACTGCATTTAACATGGTGTCCAGCCCAGAACGGATCAAGGCGACTTTGTCTGTAAAGAACCGAGCAAATGCTTCACAGCGCGTGACCGAATTGTCAGGGCTCCCGCCTGAGGTGGCGGGAGTTAAAAGACCTCTGACAATCCGAAACAACTCCGCCGGACGGTTTTTTGCAGACGCAATAGTGGCCGCAAAGAAAGTTTTCTTTGCGGCTTTTATTGCCGCGGCATATGCCCTTAGAAAGGACACAAACCGTGCTCGATTTGACTCGCTTGGGTCCGAACGCCACACGCTCTCTAGTTCCCTCTTCCTTCGCTTCATCACTGCCAGCTCCTCAGTAAACCAAGGAGCTGGTTTAGCTCGGCTACTTGAGAGGGGACGTTCCGGAGCGATCACGTCAATTGCCCTGGCCATCTCCCCATTCCAGAGAGCGACCAAGGCCTCGACGTGGTCACCTACCGAGGAGGCGGGAAAATCCCCAAGAGCCGTCAGGAATCCATTCGGATCCATAAGCCTCCTGGGGCGGACCATCTTAATGGGTCCTCCACCTTTGCGGAGGTTAGGGGGTGCAGTGAGCCTAAATCTGATCAGGAAGTGGTCAGTCCATGGCAACGGAGAGATGGACAACTCCTCCACACCGCCACCCTGCTCCCATCCCTGGCAGAAAACCAAGTCCAATGTATGTCCAGCACAGTGGGTGGGGCCAGATATTTGTTGGGACAGCCCCATGGTTGCCATGGCAGACATGAAGTCCTGAGCCGCTCCTGTGAGGGTCGCCTCGGCATGGATATTGAAGTCTCCCAGCACGAGAAGCCGTTGAGACTCCAACGCCAGGCTCGAGACTACCCCCGCTAGCTCAGGTAGGGAGACTGTAGTGCAGCGAGGTGGACGGTACACTAGCAGAATCCCTATTCTGTCCCGGTCACCCACCCTCAGGTGGACACATTCAAAATTTGTGGTCTGCGGAATGGGGCTCCTGGTCAGATGGATGGAATCTCTATAGACCACTGCAACCCCGCCTCCCCGTCCTCCGGATCTCGGTTGGTGCTGTACGGAGAAGCCTGGAGGACAAAGCTGGGTAAGATTCACGCCTCCAGCTTCATCCAGCCAGGTCTCCGTGATGCACGCCAGATCTGCCCGCTCATCCAGGATTAAATCCTGGATAAAGGTCGTTTTTCCGTTGACAGATCTGGCATTCAACAGCACCACCTTCAATCCAGAGGGCCCGCTCACCTGGTTACACCAATTTACCTTAGGAGACCGATTTGGGGTTATTAATGTAGATAAGCGGTCCGAATTAGGCCGAATTTGAGGTCTCCTTTTTCCGCATCTCCCCCTCCCCACCACGACCTCTATGGGGGCCCCTCGGCTAGTGGAACACCTCCCCTCCTCCATGCCGCAGTCCAAAACCAAGGTCTTACTTTCTGTTTCGCTAGTTGTTTGGTTTGTTGGCCCTTGCCAACTCCCTTGCTTCCCTTTCTCCCCCCTCCCCGCCACATTATTGTTCACAGGCTCCAGCCCACTTCCTTCCTTGCCCTTTCCAGTGGTCACTAATAGCAGGGACAGTACAAATAGGGGGATAGGGAGCCACATGGGTAATAATAGTCCAGGCGGTACTAAGCGTTTCAGCCACTACAGTAAGGGAGTTCGTAAAGTGCAGAGTCTTAAAGTGCAACACAGTCAGCAATACATCTGCGTGCCGTTGGGCAGATTCATAAAGTGCAAAGATCTTAAAGTGCAACAATACCCAAATCTGGCTCTCCGCGCTAACTAGGATGCGGCAAAGAGGGTAGGGAAATGGGCGAAAGTGCTAATACAATTTAGCAGCAAGTAGACAGGCGCTTTAAAGTGCTATTACGTTCTTGATACCAATTAACGGCAGAAGGCAAACAAGGAACGTACTATGTTAACAATATGTAAACACACTATTACGAGGTTGTCAGCGATAACAATTAGATAAAATTATTATGATTCAAGGTGTAATCTATAGACGGCTGATGTTAGAAAGCGGATAGGTCTTCAATCTTCCGGAGATGGTTAACACGGTGGTGGTCAGCACAATTGGACTATCACAATATCGATCAGTATAGAACAAAGGACAACACAAGAAGATCTACACAATATCGGTCAACACAAAAGGTCAGCACAAAGAGGTCTACACATTGCTTGCCCAGCAGGTGATGGAAGATGGTAGAGGGCCAGGCAGCCAGGGCCCGGCTCAAATAGCCCAGGGCCCAGTTCCAGTGGCCCTTGCGATGTACCGGCCTATTCGCGGGCCTGGGTGGTAGGAYWCTAGCTTCTAAACTAGGCTCAGATGGAAYGCCCAATTTAGGGGKAYCYGCGATGTTGGCGATGATTAGGCCCGATAGTGAGCGTCTTATGCAGGCCAGATGGGGAGGCCCAGCCGGAAAGGGCCGATGATAAAGGCTCAGCCGGACGATGCCCACTGCGCAGCGGCCCGCGTGGTAGGCCCAGGCCCGCGAGGTAGATCTAGGCGGCAGAGGCCCCGGCCGGGGCGACGCTCGCGTCAGCGGCCGCCTCGGAGACCCAGGCAGCTGAAGCCCCCGCTGGGGTGGTGTTCGCGGCGGCGTTCGCGGCGGCGGCAGCCCCCAGCCGTCTTAATCGGCTCCGGCGGGGGGGCGGGGGAGAGGAAGGGGGGCGGGGGAGAGGAAGGCCCAGATGGTCTCGATGGCCCCAGCTCCCTCAAGCCGCTACCTCCTCCCAGCCGCAAGATCACAAGAACCAACAGCGGCAAGATGGCGGGGCCCAGCGGAGACTCGGCAGCAGCCGGCCGCCGGCAGCGGCCCACGCCGCAACAAGGGGGGCCCACCAGCGGCAGCCCGCGTGGAAGGCCCAGGCCCAGGCCCGGGCGGCAGGTCCAGGCGGCAACGGCCCCGGCCGGGCGGCACCCGCATCGGCGGCAGCCTTGGGGGCCCAGACGGCACAAGCCCAAACTGGGACGGCGTTCGCGGAGGCGTTCGCGGCGATGTTCGCGGCGGCGGCCCTAATCGGCTCGAGCGAGGGGCGAGGGATAGGAGGCCCAGATGGCAGACACCGGCCCAGATGGTCTCAAAGGTCCCTCCCGGCCGCAAGATCGCCAGGTCCAACAGCGGCAAGATGGCGACACACAGCAGAGGCTCGGCAGCCAGCCGCAGCCTAGGCGGCAACAAGGGGGGTCCACCAGCGGGCACCCCAGCGCCAGGAAAGGCACAACTGGGACGATCCAAAGGGCGGCCGACCCCAACAGGTAGGTTCTTTGCGAAGGGAGAAGGGAGCAGGCCGAGTCGTAATGGCGGCGCTCCTTACCTCGTCCGCCTTCCTGGCCCTTTCTTCTCAGCTTCTTTCTCTCGGCTCCTTTGGCTCTTACAAGCTCTCTTTGGTCTAACGTGACCGTAGCAAGTGTTGAACACACCCCCTCCTCAATTTGGTGGTCAGGTAGGGAGGGAGGGTTCTCTAGGATTCCCTAGGATTGTTCTTTTTTGTCAGCGCAGCTCAGCGTTGCTGCTGCTGCTGACCGCCATACCGGAACCGGAAGCCAAAATGTTATCGCCCAAATGTTGTTGGAATTCAGTTCTCTTTAGTCAACTCATCATTACGTCATCACACTAGAGCAATGGTTCCTAATCAGATGTTGTTGGGCTACAGTCTCCATGATCCATCACGATTGGCTATGCTGGCTGAAGCTGTTGGTTGCTGCACTCAGTAACATTTGTAGAGGTCCATGTTTCCCAACTTTGTCTTGAATTGGGACTGGAAAATGAACGGCAGCCAATGGAGCTCCTGTGCTGGGATCGCCACAGTCTGGACTCCGCTTGAAGGTATACTCTCCAAAGTCTTCAGTCATCTGCTGTCGGATCTTAACTGAAGATGCCAGGAAGCAAAGCTGGATCTACTACATTGAGAGCAGGTGTTTTTCCATTGGAACATGGCATGGTCCCTTCCAGATTAGACCATCCTTGTTGTAAGTCTTCCAAAGGGCTGTTTGGGAGATCTGAAAGGTGAAGTTGCCATTGCCATTTCTAAGCCTTCTGCCTCAGGTTGCTCCTTGTGTCTATTCTTCTGGATCTGTTTTTCTCATTGTATAAAGAAGAGAAAGAGGCAGAGGTTGGCAAATTGGGTGGAGTTTGCCTCCAGTGATGAATAGTAAAAAACTTTAAACACATCAACAATATAAAATTAAGTATTTATCTGGTGTTAGTGGCTGGGAAGATCTGATTTCTGAGTCAGAGGCAGCATATAGATTGCTACCCATCTCCCTTCCATCTGTTAGATGGAGCTTTGGGGGAGTTGAAAAAAGAACTAAACAATGGAGTTCTTAAATTCACAGAGGTGACAGGAATGAATTGTTAGATCCGGCTCTCTCTATATTCCAGTGTAAATCCTTATCCTATCCTTTATCCTTCAGCTTGCATATCATGCTGAGTTTATTCATGCCATGGCTTTCTACTTAGGGAATTTGTATTTAATTTGTCCTCCTTCATTTTAAAAATTTTGCACTGTTTTTGCTTTAGTTGAGATGATTAAAATATTCTTTCCCTAAAATTAAATTTCTCTTGTTTTCCAGACTTTGCAGCATGCATCAAACTCAGACCTTTGTGCTTTTTCTTCTCTTTGGTTTCAATCTCCCAAAAGCAGAAGGCAACTGTTACTTGGAAGAATCCCAACAGCGGTGTGTGTGTCCATTGCTTTTGAAGACAGAATTCTACACTTTTTACAATTGTCTCCCAGCCACTACATATGAGCTCCAAGGAGGAAATCTGGAACAATTTGCAATCTTTGCAGTCATCCAGACAAGGCCACTACTAATAAATCACTACTTGAGAGAAGCGCAAGTAAGCAAGTTGATTTTTACAGACCTCATTGTGCCAGAGGTTCTCTTACCAACAGCCATGCAGTTTATTGCCGTCTTACCTCTGGTCTCAGAACTGGAGTTTATAAACTGTACTTTTATTAGATCTGTTGATCAGCTTGTTATATATGAATTTAACGTACATGTTTCTTCTCTGCGCTTCCACAAAGTGACAGCAGCTCCTTTGGACGACAGACTTGACATATCCAGACTGCAAATCTGGCTGGAGACCTTAGAAAACCTGGCAATAACAGAGTCACAAGTCACATCTATCCCTTGCAAAATTAGCACAATGTTGAAAGCGCTGCACTTTTTAGATCTTTCAGGAAACCATTTCCAGGACCAGGCTCTGGAGACATCATTCTGCAAAGGTGCTTTCTCACAACTCCAGGTGCTAAAATTGCATGGGAACAACCTGAGCTCTTACGAGACGGTGTGCCAGACTATTGCTCACCTCAACCAGCTTACTCACTTGGATCTCAGTCAGAATGACTTCCTGCCTGGACCACCCTTCTCTTCTTGCTCATGGCCTCAGTCACTACGTATCTTCAACTTGTCCAGCACAGGATTAGAGCACATGGACAGAGCTTTGCCACCTAATATTGAAGTATTAGATCTGAGTAACAATCACATTTTTATCTTAGATCTCTCTATCCCTGGGCTGAAGGAGCTCTACTTGTCCAACAACAGGCTGCAGACCATCCTCGCAGTCAAGAGCCTTCCAGGTTTGGAAGTCCTTGGTATAGATCATAATCAGCTCTCGCAACTCCCTGCCAAAGACCTCCTGCATTGGAAACACCTGAAGAGCTTAAGAGCTGGACTCAATCCCTACAACTGCTCTTGCAAACAGGCGATCAGGGAGATCCAGGATCTGGCCACCCGCAAGGTCTTGCTGTCTGATTGGCCTCATGATTACATATGCAGGTCTCCCCCAGACTACCAGGACTTCCTCTTGAATGAGGTGCCTCTCTCACTGCTGCAGTGCAACAAGGCATCAGTGGTCAGGCAGGGCTCAATAGTCATCTTGCTGACATGCCTTCACCTGATCCTTGGTTTGGTCTCACTGCCAACATATAGAAGCCGATTTATCATGTTGTAAATCTGGCAGCAAAGAAGAATGCTTTGGGTAAGGAGGGTGGGGTGCTGAAGCTTTGAGCTGTTTCTTTGTTGAAGAATATTCTGTGATGATACGGTTTAAACTATCACTGCAGATGGGGTTTCCACTAGAAAATATGGTTTTTAAAAGAAAAAGAAGATTGCTTTGCAGACATCTGTCTAAGCAGCTTTCATCATATTTTGTATTATTTGTATTTTGTGAAAGCTCATGCAATAAAATATCTGACATAAGAGCACTTGTTATTTTTAGTGCCAAAGACAGATACAATGCTGCTATTTTGGAAACCGTTTCAAGTGCTAAAAACCCACATAGCTTTACTTTCTCTAAAGAATGTCACTGAGAAGAAGATACTAGAGAATACCTTTGACCACTGACCTTTCACAGGTGGGAACAAATATTTTTAGAAATAATTTTCCAAGCTATGTTCTGGCACTATCAACTACATTCAAGACATGAATGCATCCTCCAGGTCTGGGTTCAAAAAGAATGAGTGGAACTAAATTTTCATAGTTCCCTGCCATCTCAGCTTGTTTTCACTGTAGAATTTCAGAATGATATTATAACCTTACTTACTTAGGCAATCCCTCAAGTGTAGTGTCTTAGTGGTGGATACAAAGGTGACTGTGGAGCCCTATTCTTGATCTACATGTTCTTCCACAGTGAGGGCATTGGCTTCGAGGTAGAAGGTAGTCCCAGTCAGGGTTGGCTTGATGCACCTTCCTCTTTACATGGTTCTCCCTTTTGTCTTCCATTAGTGCCTCTTCTAATTCCGCAGCACTGCTGGTCTCAGCTGACCTCCAGTTAGAGCATTCAAGGGCAAGGGCTTCCCAGTTCTCGGTATATTATGACCACCAGGGATGGGAGTGGGGAAGCATCAAGGCCTGACAACCCCAAAGGTCCCCCTGGCCTCCCCTTTGAGACAAAGATTGACTTGTCATAGATTGCATAAGGTTGTACTTTCCTACCTGCACTTATCTTTGTTTCATGGTGGAGATGCAGACCCTATTTAATTATGTACAGGCATTCCTTGAGTAACAAACATCCAACTTACAAATGACTCATGGTTGAGAACGGGGTGAGACAACAGGAAGCGAGAGAAATCTACCCCTAGGAAGGGAAATTCACTCAGAAATTCACTCCTGAAAGAGTTATTATAGGGAAAAGGTGTCTCAAATTTATCATCAATCTTTGTTTCCAGAACAAGTCAAATTTTTCAAAATCCAATTATCACAAGGACAGAAAGTGTAGTGAAATCTGCTGAACAGAGACACAGATATCAAAACAAACGCCATAGGGATGTTAACCCTTCCCCCTATGCTGTCCAAAGCTAAAAGATATATATATATATATATATATATATATATATATGACTGGAATTAAACGTATCTGTTCCAACTTCCAAATGTATTTGTTCCAACTTACATACAAATTCAACTTAAGAACAAAACTACAGAATGTATATTGTGCAATATATCTCAGGTAACAGTTAAAAAGATTGGTATCATGAGATATGACTGAGTAGTGTGAACATAATATATGGTCTCCATCCAAGCAGCTTATTTATTTCATTACACTGAAATAGTGTGCGGCAGGTCTCCATCTCCTCTGTTAGAAAATATTGATTACCCATAAAAACAGGGTAAAGGTTTTCCCTGACATTAAGTCTAGTTGTGTCCGACTCTGGGGGTGGTGCTCATCTCCATTTCTAAGCTGAAGAGCCGACATTGCTCATAGACACCTCCAAGATTGCATGGAGTGCCGTTTACCCATACGTTGACTTTATTTCATGATTTCACTATCATTTCCCAGAGTTCTCTTTTCTCCAGAACCTACTGCAGATGGTCCAAGATTGGAGAAGTGGAATGTTCCTCCTAGTTCCACAGGTCAAACTCAGGATTGCCATGTCTTTTTTACATTTTGTGCAACATCAGTAACAAACCAGGCATCACATTATTGTGATCTTTTTATTAGGACCAATAAGACTAGCTTTTTTTTTGTATCATAGAAAGGAGGACCACAATCAACTCTGCTATTAGGCAAAGAGAGTCAGGTTTTCAAGACGAATCTCGGATCCAGTGATTTCAGGACCAATGGCTGGATGGCCCCTGGTGATTAAGCATGATACATTAAGCATCAACCACAGTTTTTCAGAACATGTCATTCAAATTAAAAAAAGAGGAAGTCAAATAAACGAGAACATATTTCTCTAGATAGAAATATGCTCTCATTTTTTAAACTTTCCCCTTTTTTCCCAAGCTTTTCTCCATTGCAAGTTGGGGTAAGGGGACAATTTCCCCTGCTGTTTAAATGCCTTCGGAGCCCCCAATGGCACAGTGGGTTGAAGCGCTGAGCTGCTGAACTTACTGACTGAAAGATCACAGGTTCGAATGTGAGGAGCGGCATGAGCTCCTGCTGTTAGCCCCAGCTTCTGATAACCTAGCAGTTCGAAAACATGCAAATGTGAGTAGATCAATAGGGAGCGCTTTGGCGGGAAGATAACGGCACTCCATGCAGTCATACATACAACACAATAGCACACTTGCACACAGAAAGAAAAATAAAACAGTTCAGCCAGTAATGTGACTGGTGAAGCTTATTATACAGTTCCAAAACATAGCATTCACAAAATAATATTATATGCGTTTGGTTCAATCACTCAAAGAAGTATCAACGCTGTATGTTCTTGCGTCAAGTAGAACTTAAATCCATAGTCCACAACCGGTTTCGGCCTCACTCCAGGCCTTCCTCTGGTGGACTAAAATTATATATATATCAAATAAATTCATAGACAATCGTGTACATAAACACATATAAAGATACATATAAGAATACTAACAGAGTTATGAACTTGATATTTATCATATACATTAATGTTTGTTGTAAATACATCCATTCAGAATCATCTATTTCAACATGTTTAAAGATACTCACAAGATTATAAACTTGGTACTTGTTCCCCTTAGAAATATAGAAGTAGTCCTCCTGATCCACCTACCAACCTACCTACCTACCTACCTACCTACCTACCTATCTCTATCTAGTGGGATCTAAATCATGCCAGTCACATGACCTTGGAGGTCTTCAGTATAGAAATGGAGATGAGTTACAAGTTCGATAGAGTTACAAGCTGAATAGATGCGGGGAATGCCGTGGATGTACTGGATTTCAGTAAGGCCTTCGACAAGGTCCCCCATGACAAATGCAAGATACTCCACTTTGGCAGGAAAAACAAAATGCAAAGATACAGAATGGGGAACAATGCCTGGCTCGAGAGCAGTACGTGTGAAAAAGATCTTGGAGTCCTCGTGGACAACAAGTTAAACATGAGCCAACAATGTGATGTAGCGGCAAAAAAGGCCAATGGGATTTTGGCCTGCATCAATAGGAGCATAGTGTTTAGATCTAGGGAAGTAATGCTACCCCTCTATTCTGCTTTGGTTAGACCACACCTGGAATATTGTGTCCAATTCTGGGCACCACAATTCAAGAGAGATATTGACAAGCTGGAATGTGTCCAGAGGAGGGCGACTAAAATGATCAAGGGTCTGGAGAACAAGCCCTATGAGGAGCGGCTTAAGGAGCTGGGCATGTTTAGCCTGAAGAAGAGAAGGCTGAGAGGAGATATGATAGCCATGTATAAATATGTGAGAGGAAGCCAGGGAGGAGGGAGCAAGCTTGTTTTCTGCTTCCCTGGAGACTAGGACACGAAACAGTGGCTTCAAACTACAAGAAAGGAGATTCCATCTGACATGAGGAAGAACTTCCTGACTGTGAGAGCCGTTCAGCAGTGGAACTCTCTGCCCCGGAGTGTGGTGGAGGCTCCTTCTTTGGAAGCTTTTAAACAGAGGCTGGATGGCCATCTGTCAGGGGTGATTTGAATGCAATATTCCTGCTTCTTGGCAGGGGGTTGGACTGGGTGGCCCATGAGGTCTCTTCCAACTCTGATTCTATGATTCTACCAACCCCCAGAGTTGGACACGACTGGACTTAATGTTGGGGAAAACCTTTACCTTTACCTTAAATACCTTCTGAACTACCACTTTTAGCAATATTTAATCCAGCCAAAGAAAACTTTAAAAATTTGCCTTGAGCAGTAAAAACATTTCTGAACTATATTTATATCTAAAAAAAGAGAATCTTTTGCACCCCCAAAATGACTACTAAGCAGTGATTCTAGACCCAGGGTTGGGCCACACTTTTCCTCTCCTAGGTTACACCTAACTTTGCAGTGTTCCGGTATTGTGACAGACTCTGACATTACGTATCTCTCAGAGCTGGTGAGAAAAGAGAACCTTAGCATCCTGCAGCTCCCCAGCTAGAAGATATATTGAATGTGTAATATTGCAATGTAGAACACAATTTCAGAAAATGAAATAAAAACAGGAGAGGCACATATGGCTCTGAAAGGGCTGCCTAAGGCTGGAAAATAATGAGCTGTCAAAGACCAAACTACAAAATGAAGTGTATGTGAAGGGGGAAATGTACATTCAGCATTTGTCAGTTTATGACCTGAAAAGTTTGTGCCCATTACTAAATCTTCCAAACCAATGGGAATCAGAGCTGGGGTATAACTACACCCTCAGTGATGATAGTTAGATAGCACTTTAACTGTCATGGCCTTAACCATTGGTTTTGAATTTTTTAGTTTCATTTAGTACTTAGAATTTTCTAAAGCACCCCACAGAATCTATATAAATAAAAATGTAATGTTTGTTTGTGGGATTAACATAACTCAAAAACCAATTGATGAATTGACACCAAATTTGGACACAATACACCTATCAGGCCAACGAGTGACCATCACTGAAATACTGAAAAACATGGCAGAAGGGACTTTAAAAACCAAAAAAGCTAAAAGATGCTACAGTGCACGCGCAAAAGCGACTCCCCCGGCAAACAAAGCACACAATAGTATATCTACACTCTCTTCCAGACTACAGCTCCCAGCATCCTCTAGACCAGGCCCTTTATGAGACGGGGATGATCCACATGCACTGCTTCCAAGATGCAAGCTTTCTTCTCCTTGGATTTCTTTGAGAGCATCCCTATCCCTGCATATTTCCAATTTCCTATTCCTGGACTGCTACTCCCAGCGATCCTCCAGATAGAT